CTTCATGTCACGAAACCAGTTGTACAAGCATATACCATGCGGTATAGAGGTACATGCAGCGGAGGAAGACCTCTCCAAAGCATTGGTGCCAATGCCCAAACCACAGAAGACACCCCATCCCCATACACCTCCTACTCCCCTTACACCCCCTACACCTTCTATACCTCGTACATCTTCTACATCCTCTACACCCTCCGTCTCAAATACACCCTCTACACCCTCCGTTTCGAGCACACCCGACCGTCCACAAATACCTTCCAGACCACCTCGCGTTGCAAAGCTTGATGCCAAGAAGAAAATCAAATCCCTAACGAGAGCAAAACCAGCCAAAGACTCTGCGTCTACAGATACCCCGGGAACTACACAAGACCCAGCGTCTACGGATACCTCAGGAACTTCACTTTCGGAATTACCATCTCCGGCACCGGCTAAGATATTTCCACTTCCATCTCCCGCACAAGAAGTCAAGTCAGAAGACATTTTGATTTCCACGCGATACAAGGAGGACCTGGACGTCAATGCGCTGCGTACATGGCGAAGCGCTACTACGCTCGCTGGCATGAACGAGACTGGCAATCTGCGCAAGATATGCCTCGACACAGGCTGCAGTTCCACGTTGATCAGCAAAGTGTTTGCGTCTAGCATAAAAGACGTAACGTTTAGGCCTATTGACAAGCCTATACGCATCAACGGTATTGGATCTCGCCATGCAGCAAAGGAGTACATTATTTTCAATGTCTACTTTCCCCGCTCCCGGCAAATTACCTCAGCACCACTCCAATGCTCTACCAAGCACACAGTTGGACGCATTACCGTGCGGGCATTCGTGGTAAACGACCCAAAATTCACTGCGGATCTACTGATAGGCACAGACGTTATAGGACGAGAAGGAATCTTGCTCGACTGCAATCGCCAGAAAGCATACCTTGAGGGATGCAAAAATCTGCCGATAGACATAGAGGTTCAAGCAAAAAAGCGTGTCAATACCCCTGTCTACTCGACCAAGCGTGTGACAATCCCATGCAATTCAACTGCAAGCATACCTATCAAAACCAAAGCGGATTTAGTCGACGACCGCGACTACTTGTTCGAACCAACAATTTTTGACAACGGTCTTGCAGGTTACACCCACCTGGTAGATGCAAATTTCTCCTTTGTTCAAGTCACAAATAAGGGCACCAAAGACCTTGTAATATCCCGAAACGCTAGGTTAGGCAGCGTCTGCGACAACGACTACGATAGCTGCTACCGGGCCGGGAACCACGTACGAGACCTCGCACAGTCCCCAATCGAAGTTGACTACGCATGCCAGAAAACTTGGAACGACCTTAGAGCGTCAAACAACCTGTCTCTCGATAGACAACAACGTCGCCGTCTACACCGAGCCTTGAAACGCGACTCCTACCGCATGTATGTCGAAGACCAGCTCAATGCTGCTAGCGCAAATACATCCGATCCGGAAGACGAAGTCCTACCAAACACAAACGGCAAGACTAGCAAGCTACCCAACGGCATTACCATCTACGCGGATACCCCCGATGCTGCAAGACGTCTCAAGAGAGTTCTTGCTCAGTATGATATATGGGCAGACCCTGACGGCTCCAACGTCGGATTCGTTAACATTCCCGAAAACCAGTGGCTTGATATTCCGATGCAAGAAGGATGGAATCAAAACCAACCGAAACCACGCGTCTATAGGGTCTCCAAAAAAGATCAAGACGTTATAGATAAGACGTTCGACAATCTTCACGCGCAAGGAAAAATGTCGTACGCAACTGGCCACACTCCAACGGCATACCCTGTATTCGTTGTATGGAGAACGGTTACCGATCCGCAGACCGGCCAGCAAACAGCAAAAGGAAGAGCAGTAGTCGATCTTCGAGGCGCAAACAGGCTTACGATTCCCGACTTATACCCAGTGCCTATACCCGAGGACATCATCCAAATGCTTGCGGGATGCACACATATCACCGTCGTCGATGCATGTACATGCTTCTATCAATGGCTAGTCAAAAGAAATAAACGCAACCGTCTAGCAGTCGTCACCCACCGCGGTCAAGAAATCTTCCATGTGGTTATCATGGGGTTTATCAATGCGGTACCCTACGTGCAACGTCAAATGGACCTCAACTTGCAAGAGTATAAAGCATTTTGCCGTGCGTACGTGGATGACCTAGTCATTGCGTCTGTTGGTCTAGACCAGCATATTGAGCACCTCCATCTTGTTTTTCAACGTCTACAGCGTCTGAATATGAAGCTGGAACCACGCAAAGCATTCGTCGGTTTCCCCTCCGTCCAGCTACTTGGTCAAAGAGTCGATGGCCTAGGACTTGCAACACCAGAAGACAAGCTTGCCGCTATACGCAGCCTCGAATTCCCGAAGACACTCGCTTCTCTTGAGCACTACCTAGGGCTTACCAGCTACCTGAGACACCGCATTCCTCGCTACGCAGAACGCGCACAACCACTTCAAGAGCGTAAAGTGCAATTGCTCAAGCAATCCCCTAGTAACAAGGGCCGCAGTCGCGATGCTTATGCAGTCGCCGCCATTTGGAATGCTACGCAGCAGGAATTGGACTCGTTTGCCGATCTACAAAGCGAGTTTAGCAAAGACACCATGCTGGTGCACTACCGTCCCGAACGTCAACTATACGTCGACCTCGATGCATCCAGAAAAGGGCATGGTGCAGTGCTATACCACGTGCCTACAGACAACACCCACGAAGACCTTTCCAAACCACCCCCTCGAACATGGATGTTGCCAATCATGTTTTTGAGCCGGACCCTGACTCCCGCAGAGCGCAACTACTGGCCAACCGAGCTTGAAGTTTCCTGTCTAGTATGGACAATCAAGAAGACGCGCGTTATGATTGAAGCCGCCTATATACCCCCCGTTGTCTACACCGACCATGCCAGCACTGTCGGTCTTGCACAGAAAACTACATTCAATACGGTAGCACTCGAACGGTTGAATCTACGTCTAGCGCGTGCCTCCCAGTTCATTCAGCAACACCGTCTGGTGATATACCATCGTTCAGGCAAGACAAATAACCTCGCCGATGCCTTGAGCCGTCTACCGTCTAAGGGTGTCCCCTATACACCTTTCGACCTCGACGAACTGATTGACTCGGACTACGTCACAGTCAATACTGCAGATGCATCCGATACTTCAGACACACCGTCTACCACACAAGACATGCCGTCTTGCACCAGACCAATATACGTCTATAAAACCCAGGCGTTCGAAACGTCCGGTCTCGAGATCTCAAAGGAATTCAAAGACAAGTTGCGCCGAGAGTATCCCAATGACAACCGCGCCACACGAATCATCCAGACCCTGCAGACCAACCCTGACACAGAGCTGCCGTATTTCATAGAAGACGGCATCCTCTATATGCTCAAACATATTGCGCAAGCAAGACCCGAAGGTGTCGAAGGCCCACTAGACCCAATTATAGCCGAAGACAGATGGATCTACGTACCTAGACCAATGGTCCAGGACATTTTCATTATGATTCATGATGATCGAAGCCACCAGGGATTGGACAAATGCCTCCAAGCACTAGACGGACTAGCTATTTATCAAGGCAGACGCCTACTCAGGCAGTACATCGAACACTGCCCTTCTTGCCTAACAAACAAAGTACGTCGACACAAGCCCTATGGAGACCTCCAACCAATCATTTCTCCTGCTATTCCCTTTCATACTATTACCATGGATTTCATCGTCGGCCTACCACCTGTTCGAAATGCCGAAAAAGCAACAGACGTTGATACAGACGAATATGACCAGTTAATGGTATTCATTGACAAATTTACCAAACGCATTGGTCTAGTACCAGGTAATGCCAAATGGTCTGCAGAACAATGGGCACAACGCCTAGTGCTATACTTACAAGAACACGACTGGGGGATGCCTCAAGTATTCATTTCAGACCGTGATGCACGCTTCATGAGTGCGTTCTGGAAGGGCATCTTCGCAAAACTCAACGTCTCGTGGCTGTATTCGACTGCATGGCACCCTCAGACCGATGGGCAGACGGAACGTACAAACCAAACAATCGAAGTCATGCTCCGACATGCATATACCCTGCATCCACGTACTAATTGGGTCAACCATCTCCCTGTGCTCATTAGCACGATAAACGGTTCGCCTAGTGCAGCGACCAAAGCGTCTCCCCATGAGCTTATGTTTGGAATGAAGCTTTTGAACCCCTGGAATCTTGCAAGACAGCTGCTCCAAGGTCAAGACTTCTCAATTCGTCTTGACGCTACAGAGGCATACAACTTCGCCGCAGTCAATATGAAAAGAACCTATGACCAAAACCACAAGCCTATGCAGTTCAACAAAGGCGATAAAGTCTACCTCCGCCTCCACAAGGGATATACAATTCCAACCAGTCGCATGAAGGTTTTCAAAAACAAATTGAACCACCAATACGTCGGTCCTTTGACTATACTCGATAGAGTCGGTCGCTTAGCCTACCGCCTAGACCTTCCACCGTCTTGGTCTATCCACCCTGTGGTATCAATTGCCCAACTGGAACCAGCACCCAACGAAGTCGATCCGTACAACCGCCAATACAGCCAGCCCCCTCCAGTTGAAGAAGACGTTCAGCCAGGTGCAGACAGAAAGTACGAAATTGACTACATCCTTGCGTCTAGACCCGCACGCGGACGCCCACGCAAAGACGGTACCCGGTCAACCGAGTACTTGGTGCGATACACTGGCTACGGACCAGAGCACGACGAATGGGTGAATGAAAAGCACCTCGACGCCGAAGACCTCCTCCGCGACTTCAAAACATCCACATAACACCCCATACTCCCACTCTTCATCTTCTTCCCCTTTTTCACTCTACACCTTCCCGCTCCTACTCTTCTACACCCCTCCACATTCCCACTCTTCATCGTTTTACCTTACAACTCCATACTTCATCTTACACCCCTACACGCCGACTCTACCGTTTCACCTCTTCCATAGCACCTCAGTTTACCTTATGCCTTCATCACCTGTATCGCCAGACTGTCTCAAACATATAGCGAGCTGCAAGAAAGCCTTAGAAAAACCAAGGGCCCAAAGCACATGGTCAATCGGAGACAGTGACCCGGATCCATCTCTACCAGAAGAAAAGTGGCCGACGGCTATAAATCCACAGCAGGGGGAGGAACGTCAGTGGCCGCCCTTAGGCACCCGCCTGAGCGACGCGTGGGCCATACTGGCTATAAACGAACTATCTACTGCAGATAGAGCACACTACTATCCTGCGGATTTCGACCACCAGGGCAATCTTCGCAAGACCCGCGTCCCCACCGGTGAAACTTTTGTTTTCTATGCGCATAGCAACTTTTTCTTCCCCGTTTATCGTCGCACCCACATCCTTTGCGGCCAGTCTGGCCTGCCATTTAACATCTGGCTTCTGAACACGCAACGCTCTATGAGTGACGGTAAAACAACCACTACTACAATCGAAATAGGCCCTGTCGTTGCACACAGCAAAGCAGTCGATAAACCAAACATTATCATAGACATTACTCAACACACCCCGTATACCGACCCCTACTGGAATTTCGTTACTCCAAAGTGGACAGGCCACAAAGAGGACCGTATTCTGCTTTACGGAGAATCCGAAGCCGAGATTACTACACTAGATACTCTACTGAAGAAGAATCAGTTATCAGACTTTGTTGTCCCTGAAGATCCGGAGTCAGATCTACTACCAATTCGCACAGCGTCTACGTCTACATCTATTGGTCGTCAAACCAGAGCTATGGTAGCTAACAAGCGCCCAAGTACCCCAGGTGCAACACCAACCCCGAAGAAAGTTTTCAAACCACCTGTTCCTCACACTCTCAAACCATCTACTACAACAAACACTGCGTCAATGTCTACCGACCATGATCCCACACCAGAGCCTACCAATGCTGATCCTAAGCCGCAAAACACCTCGTCTACCGATGCCGATTCTATACAAAACACCTCGTCTACCGATGCCGAGCCTAAACCAAACACCTTGTCAACCGATGCCGATGCTGATCCTAGACCTACACCTGAACACACCTTAAAGGTCTCTGTCTCCAATCTTGTTATACGAGGCGATGAAGCTCTCAAACTACGTCACGAAAATGCAGCTATTGCCGACACATTGATATCCCTCTCAAACAGCGAAAAGCGAAGGCAAGTTATCTGGGACAATGCTCTTCGCAGAGATGAAGTTCCACGAAACGACGAAGCTTTCAGACTACGTCTAGAAAATGAAACAATTGCGGACGCGCTTATATCTCTCTCGAACGGCGAAAAACGAAGGCAAACAATCTGGGACAAGATTCTTCGCAGAGTTGACAAAGACATCGCCCCTACTACACTACCAGAAGAGACTGCACTACCAGAAGAGCCTAGTGATTGGCGCAGAACATCAAGTTTTACCCTGGCATCTATGTCAATACTTGACCATCCGCAACTACTCAACAGCCGCTTTCCCGGTACAAACGCAGCGTCTACCACTGTTGAACCAAACACAGCGTCTATCACTACCGCGGAACCCACTTCAGCTTCAGAACCTTCAAATCCTTGGACGAATCCTGATGCACCGAACAATTTCGTATACGGCAGAACAGTTCTTAAGCCACATGAACGCCCCACAAAATGGCTATCCCAGGAACAAGCAAGAGAAATTTTGAGAGCAAGAAAAGAAAAGAAACAGCATATCGACCTTACAAACGAATTAGTTGCCTCTTCAGACAAAACTGTTGCTCCTCCAGACACAACGTCAACTGTTGCTCTTCCAGACACAACGTCAACTGTTGCTCTTCCAGACACAACGTCAACTGTTGCTCCTCCAGACACGACGTCAACTGTCGCTCCTTCAGACTCCACGTCTAAGTCTAAGAAAAGAAAGGCTACTGTTGCCCCTCCAGACTCCACGTCAAAGTCTAAGAAAACAAAGACTCCTTCTTCGGTAGACAGTAGTTCCACGTCTACGGCAAAGAAAGAAAAGAAACAGAAACGGTTGGAGGAGGCCGAAGAGCGCATGCGAGCTTTACAAGAGCAGAACGAGAAGTTGATGACACAGCTTCGCCAACAGTCTCTCCCAGACAATTTCGATCCATATTTACGTCGCCCGGACTGGCGTTTACAATCAAATGCACTCGCACAACATGCTAATCCGTTTGATCTTAACATTGATCCTTTCGACATGGTTAACCTTGATCCTCCATCTGATAACTTCAATCCTCCACCGGATGATCTCGTTTGAGGGCAAACGATAGGAGAAGACGGCATTGTTGACTCCGTGTGTTGTTCTGCCTAGACACACCGCCTAGCGGGACCATCTTCTTCTTCCTCCTTGTATCTAGCCTAGATAGTTTCCTCAACAACAATAGGAATGAATCAATCATGAGAGAGAGAACAGCTTCCACAGATAGAAAAAATAGATATAAAATATATTTACAGATATTTTATAGTATATTCAGAAGATAGACTTATAGTATTATACTATTAATTAAGATTAAGATATATTTATATATTTTAGTATACTAAGTAATAATACTAGTAATTAAAAGAGTATAAAAGCATCTTTAAGTTATTAATTACTATTAAGTACTTAATATTGTTAGTAAGCAGTATTAAGAATAGTTATTATATTCTTTTTAACTATAATATTTAGAAGAAGTTTACTTATTCTATTTATATATTATAATATATTTTTTTAAAAACTTATCTTTTCGATGTAAAGTCAAAAAAGATAATCCCGGTATTTTTATAAAATAACTTAAAAGAATTACTACAGAAAACTATTAAAAAAATATAAAAACTATCTATTTAGAGTGGATTAACCTGACCGTTATACCTTAACCTTAACCTGACCATAACCTGGCGGTCAGATTAAGGTACAAAAAAATTTCAACCGTACGGTTATAGTTAGGTTAAAATATAACCATTATTTTAACTGTTTATACCTGCCGGTCAGAAAAGTCAGGTATAGCGGGTAGGTTAATAACCGTAGGTTAATTAATAATATATATATTCTTTTTATACAGATAATATACAAAGTATAATATACTTTTAATTATAGTATAGTAATGTTATCTAGATTTAGCTTATCTGTTCGATCTGTTTAATCTATTTGACCTGTTTAATCTGTTTGATCTATTTAACCTATTTAACCTATTTAACCTATTTAATCTATTCGATCTATTTGATTTATTCGATCTGTTTAATCTGTTCGATCTGCTTGACCTCTTCTCCTATAATCCCGAGAAGTATACTACGCTTTGAAAAAGGTATTTATAAAATCCAGTATAAAAAATATAGAATTTGATATTAAATAAACTAATAAAATTATACTACTTTTTATACTGTCTAGAATAATAATCATAGTAGTAAAGAAATCGAGAAGACCGGGTCTCTATCTCTATTTAAGTACGTATAATATTCGAAAACTCAAATAAAGCTAGCTCTTCTATTTCTAATAATAATCTATCTTCTAGATTATTTTTAAGATTATTTATATTCTTATTTTTACTGATATAAAAAATAGTAATTATCTTATTTTCTTCTTACTTCTTAGGTGTAAAAATAATCGAATCCAGATTAAGATTATTAAAAATATTCTAATACTTTTTACTAATAGTAAAATAATCGGTATATATTTAAAGTATTACTGTTTTAATTATATCAGAATAAAGACAGCTCCGGCAATAATAGCAGATATCTTAAGAACTATTAAATAAATATTTAATACTAATACTATTGGTAGCAACTAAAAAAAAATCTTTAGTTATTTAATAGAAAATAAAAAACTAATTACAGCGGGACTTTTAGTAAATAAGAATATTAGTATATCCTATAATATCTAGAATAATATTAATTTAATTAAAAATATTTTAATAAGCTATATATCTTCGATATCTAGATATATCTTAAGTTTTTTAAATATTTTAGCTGTCGGTAAGAGTCTTTAATATTTAAAGATATTATAAAAGGCTTTATCCAGATCTGACAGTAATCCGAAGATAGTTAATAGTATATTAATAGCCGGATTCTAATTATAATAGAAATAGAATATTTTTTTAAAAACAGTTCAGTACTTAAGATATCAGTTAATATTATTATCCAGCCAGATATTTTTTTTAAACTTTTTAAGCTTTAATATCGGGTTTAGAATAGTTATAATTATATAAATATAGCCTTCTGCCTGATAGATATAATAGTAGTATTTTCAAAGCTTTTAATATATATTCTATAAGCCTTTAAGAATCTTTTTTTTTAGAATACCCGCTTTCTTACTAATTAGTTAATTAAGTAATTTAGATAATTAAAAAAATTATTATAGATATTATAGATCTTGTAAATAATAGGCCCACTGTTTTTAGATAAATATTATATAAAAAGAAAAAAGAAGTATAAAAGCTTAAAAAGATACTCTATCTATTTCTACTTAATTATAATAGAATAAAAATAATTAATATTACTATAATTATAGTACTAAATAAAACTGTTAATTACTTAATAAAAATTAAATATTTAGTAAATTATAAGATAGATTAAGTTTTAGCGAGTTTTGTAGTCAAAAAGAAAATAGTAGACCGAGTCTAATTTAAATTATTAAGTAAGCTGGAACTTTTTACAGTATTAAAAGCTTATATTTATAAATTATATAATCTTTTGAATCTATAATTAAGAATTAGTATTATTAACTATTATTAAAAAAAGATCTTTAGAATCTGTCTGTAAAAAACTAATCTAAATAGTCTCTACTATAGTAGAAGCTCTCTGTATTAGTTTTTTATAAATAATTTTTAGAATATATTTTTTTAAAAGTTTTTAAAATACTAGAAGAGGCTTTAAGATTTTTATTATAATTTTTTTATATATATTTGACAGTACTGTTTAAGGCCTTAATCTAAAGTTTCTATAAAAGAATATTAACTATAAGCTGAATTATATAAGTAAGACAGAATATATAATACTGGCTTTAAATAATTATTATAAGATTAGAATTAAATAAAGTATTATAAAGCTGAATATTTTAGCTGAGCTGAGTCCAGAGTTCAGATAAGATTATACTAAATATTAAACTATTATTACTAATATTATTAGTTATTATATCTAATAATTAATAGAACAGGTTATATTTATACAAAACTAATAGAATAATTATAGCTAGATTTTTATTAATATAAGATTTAGATACCGGTCGGAAGCCCAGTAGAATTTTATAATAATTTATATTTTTTATTAAAAAATATCCAGTTAAAATAAGAAATATTTTCTAATTAAAATTAATCTAGCAGTCTACTATAACCGATATTTTTCTAATATCTAAGAACTTTAATAACAGCTGTATATATATATTTTTTAATAACTTTAAAAAATATTTTTTAATCTATACTTAATTAAAAGAACTTGATTTTCAGCAGAAAAATAAAGCTGTAAGATTAATTATCTGTTTAAATTAAATATACTCGATAGTTCGGAATAGTAGGCAATAAATAATTATAAAATATAGAACTTAATTCTAAAAATTCTGTTTATTATAGGCTGTAGAGGCCTAGAAAAAATAATAATTAGAAAAGATTTATATTAAAAAAATAAATAAATATCTATAATAGTTCTTTATTTAGTATCTGACTAATTATTTATTTAGATATTACTAATAGTATTTTCTTCTTATAATCCTTGCGAAGATGATAGCTTATAGAACTAATTTCTAAGTTTTTAATTTCCGGGTATTACAGGATATAAAGACAGGTAATATAATAGATATAAAAGATTTTATTAGAAAATAATATATCTTTTTAAAAGCTGTTTTATATTATTAATATCTTCTTTCGACTGAAATAAAATAGCAGTTTTCGAGCTTGTATACAAGCTTTAAAAAAGATTATTTTTTATTATTAATTCTAAAAAGTAGAGCACTTTTCTTTGTAAATTAGATATAAAATAATTTTCTGATTCTTTACAACGCACGTAATCTGGAGATTTAAAAAAAAAAAAAAATCTGGTTTAAAAAACTTATCTTAGTTTAAATATTATTATGGTTTGTAAATATTTGAGAAACAGAAAAAAAGAATATAATAATATTTTCTAAAAATAAGCCAGATAACTATAATTAACTTATGATTTTAAGACTACTCTATAAATAATAAATACAGAAAGAAAAAAGTAGAAAATTCTATAAAAGTAGTTTGTTTTATTTTAAAATATATTTTCGCGTAAATATAATTTATTATATTTTAAACAGAGCTAAGGCACCTGCCGCATCTTATTTATTTTAGTCGGTTAGATTAGTCAGATTAATTAGATTATTCTAATATTTATAGAAAAGGCCTGAAAAAAACTTATATAAAGTTTTTTATAAAAAATATAGTATCTGTAAGAGCTGTTTAAATAATTAAAAACTAATCTATTTAATACTAAAATACAAGAATTTTAAGTATAGAGAGAGAAAGAAAAGAGAAGAAAAATATAAAAAAACTTTAGAATATATATTATTATTACGCAGAAGAGTCGGTTAAACTAAATAAATAAAATAAAATTAGTATAGTTAATAGCAGATCTCTGAGATACTTAAAGTCAAAAAAATTAAATAGATTAAAAAAATTAACTAGATAAAAAGAGTAAAAAAGATTAACTAGATTAAAAAAATAAAAATAATAGACTGTTTTTATAGTATCTGATATTTAATAAGATAGTTGTTGGAAAATACGGTTACCGAGAAAAATTATATAAATAGTATTATATAGATTTTTTTTTAAGTTTAATCTATTATACAGATAATTTAGCTCTTTTAGATAAAAATAAGAATATAATAGACTATTTAAGCTGAAGTAAGAAAAAGAATAGTAAAATAAAAATAATATATTTATTTTTAGTAGTCTGATTATTAGTAAATATATAGTTTTTCTAATATTATATATTATAATTAAGATATACGGCTTAAACCGAGCTGTAATTATATATTTTTATATATATTTCTTGCTGTAAAAACCATAATTTTATAAAAAGCTAAATTTTGTTAATACTATTAGAAATCTTTGATTAATTCTTTAAGATAGAGATAAAAAAGATACTAATACTTCTCTTAATTATTTTTTTCTGATTTTAAAAGCTTGTTTCTATATACTTTTAGACAACGGTTAAGATAGTCAGATTAATAACCGCTTAATCTGGATATATTTTAACCGTGCTAAAGCTTAAATAAATATAGCGGGCAGGTCTTAGTATTAAGAACAGTTAAGATAGTTAACCGTTCTTTTTTTAGTTATACTGTGGTCAGATATAAAAATTTTCTTAATCTGGCTATAATCTGGTGGTCAGGTATAAAAATTCCAATTAACCTGACCTGACCTGGCCGTTAGCCACTCTATATCTATTTTATTTTTTAGATTATAGATATATGTTTTATTCTTTGTGTGATTTATGTTTTTTATATATATTATAGCTATAATATAATTATTTATTTTTATACTCTATTTTCCTATATCTAAATTCTTATATTTATGCGAAGATAAAGAAATAAGAGTAAGCATACAGCTTTTTATTAGACTTAATAAAATAGTAGAATAGAAAAAACTTAAGATTCTTAGTAAGAAGCTGCTTAATATAAAAACAGCAGATAATATTAATATTTTTAATTTTAACAGTCTTAAAAATTTATAAAGATTTATTAGAAATATACTATTATTAAGAGCCTCCGAAAAAAAAATAGTAGTAATAAAATATATATAGATAGAACCGAAACAGATATAATAATAGACAGCTATATTTTAGTAAAAAATTTTAATAATTTTAATACAGCTTATCTTACGGAATTTTTTATATATATTATATAAATACCGAAGCGCGAGTTGTAGCAGAGCCAGATACTAAAATTCTTAATTTTAAAAAAATACTTTTTATTAATTTAAAAAAAGATTAAGTATCAGCTGATACTTACTATTAACTTTTTTACAGACAGATATTATAGATATATTATATTAAAACTAATAATCTTATTATTAGTCTTCTTAATCTTACAGAGCTGGGTTAGAAAGTACCAGAACTATAATTTAATAATAATAATATTAGATATAAAAATATATATATAGTACAGTTTAGGCGTAAGATTAGCTTTAATAAACAGATTAATATCTAATAATCTAATATTTTTAGAAATATTCTATTAATTCTAGTTAGAAAATTAATCTAATAGTCTAAGTTAAAAAGCTGCTTAATAAAACTGTAACTTAGTAATAATAATATTAGATATTAAAGTATATATATATTAAGTATAGCTTAAGTATAGGATTAGTCTTACTTAATAAACAGATAAATAAAGTTAAATAGTAATATTCTTTTTATAACAAAAAACTAAGTTTAAGAACTAATTAGAAAAAAAATAAAAAAAAGATTAGATATATTCTTTAACAGTCTTCTTAGATTCTAAATTAAGCTTATTTTTTTATTTTATTTTTTAAGCTGTATCAGAGGCCTTATTAAAATTACTAATATTAAAAAATTATATATAAAAGAATTTATAGTTATTTCTCTATTTAACTTATTATTTATATTAATTTGACTTTAATAATCCCGGATCTGTATATCTAAAACTACTCGAAAAGAAAAATCTATAATAAATAGTTTTTAAAACTCTTTATATATATATAGGCTGTTAAATATTTTTATTAGATATTTATAGTTTTATTTATATATTTAAATAATATAATTATATTTTTTTTTAATAACTTTAGATATTAATTACAGCTTGGCATGCTGCTTTATTAGATAAATCCAAGTTATAAATTAAAATATACTATCTAAAAATCTAATTAGTTAATTTATAATAAAAAGATTAAAGATTTTTAGACTTATATTTAAGCTATTTTTATTTTAATTCTAAATAGTTATTAACAAAAATTACTTTTTATATTCAGATAAAAATATCTGCTGACTAGTGAATTTTATAGATTAAATTAAATATCTGATATAGTTAATTAAAATTACTATATTATTTAATATAATTTTTCTGCTTTAAAAACAGATAGTTAAGCTATTTATAAGTTTATTACTCTGCAAGATATAAGATTTAGAATTTTTATATTTTAAATAATTTCCGAATTTATTTCTCTGTTTTTTGGTATATCGAATAGCTTGATTTTAATTTTTTAAATATTATTTCTATTAGCTACTAAAGTTGGAAATTATTAAGACTTAAGAGAAACTACCGGCGAGCAAATTATATTAACTTAATTTAAGTTTTAGAATTTTTTAATTATTATTGATTGTGGCTCTTAGGTTTTAGTAGAAGAATCAGAATCTGAATAATAAAATCCAACTTAAATTAAAATAAAGATAGAGAATTATTTTTAAAAAAAACAGAATTATAAACAGCCTCAGATATTTAAATATTCTAAATAAAATATTAAAATTTCTGATTTTTTATCTTCGGAAGTTCAGAGAAGTCTTTCTAATAATTAGAAGAAAAATACAAAGACTCTAAATCTAATAATAAGTATTTTATTAGTTTAGAACTAGATAATACTAAACTTGATTAAATAGTCCTCCGAAGATTTTTTATTTTTTTAATTTATTATAATACATGCTGGAAAGTAGATTATAATATAATTAAAAAATTTCGAATCTCTATTATAAATTCTAAAAACTAATCTTGCTGTTAAAATTAAGATAATTTATACAGATTAAGCTTCTTTAAAAATCTTAGAATTTAAGAACTATTTTAAGTAGACTTTTTATTAAAAATATAAGTAGAAGCAGTCTTCTGTTTTTTTATTTTTTATAATATTAGCTGACTTTAAGTACTTCTTAAATTAGATTTTCTTTCTAGCTGTTATAACTAATTAGTACTATATACTATTTAGCTAAAAATTATTAAATATTATATATCTGTATATATTCTGATTTCTAAGAATTATCTATACATACAGTATCAACTAATAATTATAATCTAAAGTTTAAACTAATTTTAGTATAGAATCTAATATTAAAATAAGTAAGACATATCTATTTTATTATATAATAGACTTTAGTAGTTAGACTTTTTTTCTAATATTTATTTTTTTTTTAGAATCTGATCTACTTACTAGTATATTAAGTCAGATTTAAAACACGCCCAGTTAATACTAGAAAATTATTTAAATTCTAATTTTTATACGTTGTTTTATATTTTATATTTTTAATTATATAATTTTTTAAACTTTATAGTATAATTTTATTCTTTATATTATAAATATATGCTTATCCGAGACATGTTTTATATATAATAAGTTATTATATTTTAAAAGCTTATCTTTACTAGAAAAAGTATATATTAGGCTAATATATTTCTTTCCGAATAAATTAATAAACTAGAGAAAACTTAGATTAAGCTAATTTAAATATCTTTCAGAAAGTAATCTATTTGGATATATTTCTAATAATCTATTTAATATTTTTTTTTTAGCACCAGTATTTTTTTTTTTAATATTAGTAGTTTTTTTTTTAATAATAGTACTTTCTTCTTCAGCAGCAGCAGTTTTTTTAATATTACTAGTATTTTTTTTTCTAGTATTAGTAGTTTTTTCTCCAGTAGCAGTATTCTCTTTTTTAATATTAGTATTTTTTTTTTCAGTATTAACAGTTTTTGTTCTAGCCTTATTATTTTTCTTTATTTTTCTGTGTGGATTTTGCTTTTTAATATTTTTAGAGTCTTTAAAAGCTATATTTTTAAGTAAAAAAATAAAGATTTTAAGAATTTATTTAAGATCGGTAATATTACTCTCTTCGGAAGATATTTTATCTTTAAAATATATTATCTTATTATTTTTTATAATAATTTTAAGTATACTAATATCTTCTTTTTTAAAATCCAGAATTAATATTAAAAACTCTAATAGTTTAATTATCAAGCCAGAAAGAGCTTTGTTACTTAATTAATTATTTAGTACTATCTAAAATATACTAAAAATATAATACTTAAAAATATAAATAATTTTTTCTTAATCTAATTATTAAAAATATTCTATAGTCTGTTTTTTTTAGGCGCGTGATAATAGCATACTAAAAAAGTATATATTTTAGTAAAATCTCTAAAAATTAAGACCGATTAAGTTAAGTTAAAAAAATATAACTAGAATTATATATTTCTTAGGTTTTTCTGTAAAATATATAATAATATTAGCTTTTTTTTTATTATTAGACTATTGTGGATCATCTCTATGTTAAATCCAGTTTTTTATAAAGTTATTAGAATATAAAGCTTTTTTTCCGGAAACTATATTTATATAATTAACTTTTTTTTTTTAAATTATATTAATATATACAGAACTTCTAGTATAACTCGTATTTTTAATACTCTTCGGATAAGTATGGCTAGTTACTTTATTACTTTATATTTATTTATAGATTATTTTTACTTTTCTGCTGAGGTTTAGACTGTATATAGAATATTTTAATAGTAATAATATTTTTAACTTATTTCTATTTCTATAAATATTATATTTATTTAAGTACCAGCTTATGTCTTTTTTATAAATTAACTGCTTTAGAAAAATCTGTCTTTAGAAGAATCAGCTTAAGTAGAATTATACTAAGTTATAAGATTTTTAAAATTAATTAATAAAAATATACTATAGTCTACTAGTACTGTAAATTTTCTCTGTTTAACTAGTTAAGTATTATAATATAGTAATTTTTAATTTAATAAGTTTTATAAACTTTTTATTTCTTAGAATTAAACTTTATATTAAATATCTTATATACTGCAGGAAGAATATTCTTACTGATTATTTAGCTATTTTTAAATAGAATTATAGACGCAAAAATCTTCCAGATTATTAAATATTTTAAAAAAGTATAGAACTGTACTAATTATATTTTTTTATTTAGATTTATATAAATAATATATCTTTCAAAGAAAACTTTACTAAAAATAAGATTTATATAATAAGTATCTAAAGATATAATTAAAATCTTTTTTATAACTACCAGTTCTATTATCTTAGATATTAAACATCTTTTAAGAAATAATTGTAAGTATCTAATAAAATTATTATTATAATTATTAAAAAAAAATATTATTATAAATAGAAGATTAAAGTTGCTTCTAGTTTATTATATAGTTTAGAATATTTCTAATATCTTATTATATAGGTTATAGGCCTTATTTAGAATAATAAGCCTGAAATAATTTTTAATATTATTAGAATAGTTTTTTAAATAATTTTTTTTATTCTTAAACTTACTTTTATACTTGTATATATATTAGATTTTAATATCTAAAACACTATGACGGCTCTTAAATATATTATAACTATTTAATATAACTATTAGATATTATTTTTATTTAATAAAGATTTTATAGTCAGCTGTTAGCTTATTATTAATTTATCTAATATTCTTCCGGCTTTATATTTTTTTATAGTATATATACAGTACTAATTATTTTATAATACTTAAAATCTCGGTCTATTATTAGTAAATTAAATATAATAGTATTAGTATTAGAATTAGCTTTTTTAACTTTTCTGCAGTAAGTTTATTCTCAGACTTAGTTTTTTTTTTAAAATATACTATATACTTCTAGAAATTAATTATAAAAGTCTAATACTAAGATCTTTTAGATTACTTACTGCAAGAATAATACTAATAGATTATTATATTTTTTCTAGTTTAATTATATCTACTAATAATATTTTTTATATTATTTTTTTAATTATAATCTTAATAATAGCCTAAATTCTAACAGATTATCAGAACTTTAATATTATAGATATAATTATATTCGGTAAATATAAACATTCTAGATTTTTAATCCTAAGATTTTAGCAGGTTTTTAGATAATTTTTTTTTAATAATTAAGATTATTAATAAACTACTGGATTTACTCTAGCTTTTTAAGCTTCTCGGAAATAATTTCTATTAGATTATTTTTTTTACTTATTATCAGTAGAGCTTTAAAATCGGATATAATTAAGTATTTTAATATTTTAAAAATATTATTTCTAATATTTTTAGTAAATTTTTTAAAATTATTCTTATTCTTGCTTTTATTTATTTTTTTAATAAGTTTTTCGGCTTTAGTAAGATCTTTTAGCTTATTTAAAGTTAATATTTGATTTATTTTTACTGCCAACCAGAAAAACTTAGTCGGATTATAAATATTTAATTTATAAAAAAGTTATAGTTATTTTTTTCTATTTAAGGCTTTAGCTTGCTACTAGGGCTTATTCTTACTAAGATCTAATTTAGAAACTTTGGTTTTTAAGTTTTTTATATTATTTAATAGCTTTATTATTATTTTTTTTATGTTCGTTTTTTTCTTTTTTTTAATATAACGATCTGACTTTCTAGTTTTATACAGGTTTGTATTTTCTATAGGGGTTTTTTATATTAATCTAATATTTAATATTTTTAGTTATTTTGCTTACCTTCGAAGTAAACAGTTCTAAAAATAGAGATTTCTTCTAACTTTTAATTAATTTAACTAGATAAATATATTATAATAAGAATAGTATAGATTTTTTAAATAGTTTTTTCTTTTTTATTATTGCTTATATTCCGCCGGAAGAAAATATTTTTATAATTTATTTTATTAGTATGCTTTACTGTCTACAAAAAATAAATAAAATAGTTAGTTTTATTCTAATTCTACTTATCTAAGATAAGTACTAAAAATTATTACTATTTGTCTATTTTACTACAGACTAGATACTTCTATATTATTTTTAGTAAGACATCTTTTTTTTTTTATATATTTTAAGCAGTTATTTTATAGTTTAATTTAATATAGCTTAACTAATAGTAACTTTAGCCAGTTAAGTTATAATTTATATAAAATTAAGCGTAATATCTTTTATAATTCTGTATATTTTTTTCTAAGATTAATTTCTGTTACTTGCTTATTTTTATTTCTATTATTATTATTTAAATATATATTATTTAGAAGCTCTTTATATATAGCTAATAAATAGATTAACTTACTATATAGTCTGGTTATATTACTAGACGTTATAGAAGATTGCTATATATTATAAAAGATTATTATATATTATAACAGAAAAGAAAGAATATTACTATGTATTATAAAAGATTATTAGATATTATTTTATAATTTTAAGAACTGCTTATAAAAAGATATTAAAATCTTAGTTTTAAAGCTAAAATAGATATTAAAACTTAGTTTTACTTATCTTACTTGCAAATAAAAAAAGATAAATATTAAGAATATTAAGAATACAGATTTTAGAATTTGTTTAAAAAGATAAAAAGATTAGTACAGAGGATAAAAAGATAAAGAAAAATTAATAAAAAGAATAAAAAGATAAAGAAAGATTAATATAAAGAATAAAAAAATAGGTAATAAAAGATATAAAAGTTAAGATATATTATATAAAAAAAAAATTTTAGCCTCTAGTAAATAATTATATATATAAGAAATTAAAAAGGCTATATTAAAAAAAAAGTAAATAGTAAAGTAAGATTTCGATAAAATAATATCTATTTTTAGTAAGATTTCGATAAAGTAATATCCATTTTTAGTAAGATTTCGATAAAATAATATTTATTTTTAGTAAGATTTAGATAAGATTATATTTACTTATATTTTAGTTTACAGAATAGAATAGTTATAATAACAATTTAAATTACTATTATAAATAAGTATACAACAGTTAGTATAACTCTAAGATTAAAATATATTATAATAGTAAATAGTATAAAAACTACTTTAGATCTAGTAAAAAAGATATAGTTTTAGTATAATCTATTATTTATATAAAGATTAGTACTTCTAGATTTAAAGGGCTTATAATTAGTCAGAACTTTATACAACTTTATTATAACTCTATATAACCGGAGCAAACCGCAGTACAACCACTGTAACTTACCCCCTCGGCCCGCTATGTATTCTAAGGTACCGACCCTTAGAAAACCCCACCACGTGAGTTTAAAAGTCTTATCTATCTAGATTGAAACAAGTGCTTATTTATCCAGGTATAATCTTTCCTCAATACAATGACTTCTATATGTAGAAAGTGTCAAGTCTTACAATTCTTTATATCGCAAAGATAACGAATTTTATATGGTGGCGGAAAGACCACGTAAAGTATTTTCGCTATGGCGAGGAATTCGCTATATGGTAGCGGGACTCGTTATAGCGGGGAACTGCAGTAGATTCCACTCAAGGTCCAATGCAGAGATGTAGCCCAAGGCCAAAAAAACATACAACAGAAGGAATTCGCTGGTGGTCACTCACCCAAACTACTAATTTTTCAATTGGATACCGCGCAAATAAATCAGCAGATAAGACCGCTTTACAGTCGCGCAACCGGAAATAACTTAGAATAAGTAATTTCTAAAAATATATGAATAATCATTGAGAACTTGTGATATTCAGTAATCCTATCCATTGAAACTTTAATATCCACTTGATTTCTGTATACTAATAATATTGGTTTAAAACAATATGCTGAACTTGCTAAGCCACGAAACTAAGTTAAGATTATCTATCTTAGATCTAGCTTCTACGTAATTAATCCTATTCCCTCATACCAGTATGTAATAGAGAAGATGAAGTTTAGAGAAAGCTTAGAAGCCCTATAGGATTAACAAATCGCTCTACCCAAATCTTAATAAAGATTTGAAGTGAATGAGAGAATATTTTGATGGTCAATGTTATGGGACCAGGGCCCTGATATAGAGCTCGGCTTCAGGCACCAGTTGATACCTGGGGCCTCGCACGCTATACGCTAAACTAGCGCTAGCTTAGCACTCACATCTGAAAGAATTTCGTACGAACAGACGAAATAGCTCTTCAGCTATTTCTTATTCAAGGCATGTTTCGATTAGCACAATCTATCCGTCCCGTAACACTGTAGTAGATATACTAAATTTCGACTCCCCATCAGTATATTGCTTATTAAAAAAAAGCTTCTGGGTCATCCAGAAGCTTTGAAGCTGATTTGTGAAATTTAAAAATAGTATGTAAAATTGACAAGTTTAATTCTGAAGGTAGATGTAGACTTTATTTGTTGAGCAACGTGGTCTGAGCCTGCAGGTACTTCAACTGGCTATATGCAACTGGCTATATCAAACGGCATCGGTGCTGTCCAATTCTTTGCCTCAGCAAAAATCATTTCTAATGCTGATGTGAATTCTAGTGTAAAATATATATACAACGCTCCCGCGCTGAGACTACCTCAGGTTCACACTGTAACATGAACTATGAATGCTCAAATCATCACTATAATATAGTTACTAAACTGATCATTCTTGCTTTCCATAATCTAAATCTGCCTTCCAAAGCTATGACTAACCGGTTTTGCTGGTTGTTAGATCAAGTACTAGATAAATACTGATTTGTTTTATTATTTGAGGGTTAACAAGGTCTTCGGGTAATGTGTTCCACGTTTTCCCACGGTTATAGCGACATACTAGCTCAACGGCGCATAGGGATTTAGTTAGACTTTGCTCTTACTAAGAGGCTCCGACCACATCCCCTTCGCCAAATTCATGATCTAATAAAGATTTCCTAACCAAATATCTACACAAATCCCTGCCACTATGCCCATTGAAAATGCTCGCAATGCAGATAAATCCCCCCGGACTTGGCCCCCTTCAGGACTTTCAAGTTCTCGTCAGCAACCGCATTGCGAACATCACTCTGCATCGAAATTGGCCCACAAACATAAACCCCGAGCGACTCGCCGGGATGAACTGCTTCTTGGATGATCTCAGGGAGCCGTGGCCGGCCCTTGGAGCTCTCTATCATGGTGAGCATCGCTTGATCATCCGAAACATCCGCATTTGCAGGCAAGGGGCCCTGCTCTTTCAATTGAGCGGGGGTCTGCTGCCTCTGGGTCGGTTGCCGGTCAGCCTCGTCACCAGTCAGATGAATCTGGATGTGAAGATCGAGCAGCACGCCGGGCACGGAGAACTCTTCCAGCAGCCGACTGATAGCTTGATCGAACCACATGCGGCTTTCGGTATCTCTAGTTGCCAGGATAATCCGCAGGGAACGAGGTGCAGAAATGCCATTGCTAGAGGGCGGGTTGTTTTGCCTTGTTGCTGGTGTGTCGTCCTCGCTCACGACGTCGATTCCTTGGCCACATTCTACGTCACCAGACGCTGACCGTGACACAAGGAATTGCTGAATACACGGCAAAGTCCATCCGATGCCAGACCCCCCTGCAATCAACAGAAGATTGCTGCTGCGAACGTAGGATTGCAGGTCGATTCCGCCGTACGGGCCGTCGACCAGCACCGACACAGAAGCCTCCGGGTGCGCCACGGCGTATTCGTGAAGGCGCGCCGTAAAACCGCCTTGATGGCGGATGTAGAAGACGAGGTAGGACTGGTCACCGGGCTTTTCTGCTGGCAGCGAGCAGATAGTGAATGGGTGCGCCGAGAGCGCATGGAGTAGCCCGAAGCCGGTGAAGCGGAGAAAGCAGTGTTGGCCGGGTCGCCACCGGAAGGAGACGGGGATTGTGATCCGGATGAAGCCGTTGCTTTCCAGGTGAACCTGGGCCCTTTGGCACATTCCATACTCGAAAAGCGTTCGCAGCCAGGGATGGAGGAAACAGGGAACGTATACGGCAGCTGTCGCGATAAAGTAGTGCCTAGATAGATATTGGTGGTGTTGTCCAAGGTAAGGAGGCCGCGTCAGTTGCTTGTGCTTACCAGGAGGTCAAGGTATAGTCGCAGTGCCAGAAGAAGATCAGAACGAAAACGGCAGCAGCAAAGAAGTGTGTTGCCTTGAAGAATTCGTACCCCAGTCCTCTGCAACACAGTTATATAGGTGAGAATGTTGCATTTGTGTCCATTGCTGTGCGGTCACATACCTAATCACACTGTGCGAGGCAAAGGTAAGCCAGGCCTGGAAGATGAGAGCCACAATTCCGGTCCAGTAGAAAACAAGACTCATCTCAAATTGCATCACCATGTCATGGAATCGGATGTGGTAGACAATGAAGGGAAATGTATGCAGGAGCGCGAGGACGAAGAAGGCATAGGATATCCATCGGTGAAATACTTGGAGCTTCTCATGGGAGACGCCGGTAAAGAGGGTGAGCCAACTGGTCTTGGTGGCCGTTGCGCTGTACATAATTATTACATAAAACAGCGACTTCGACCACTTGGGGACCTACAAGACAAATGGCATGCACGCCAGCGCCATCCATCCCGATCTTGTAGCAAGGGGAGGCGAACCACCATAATCTAGACTGGACCAGTAGTAAGGCTGGGGAATGAGCACCATGCCTGATAATCCAGCTTTCATCAGCATCGACATGCGCTCCCACGGCGATGGTGGCTTACAGAGAAAGAAGACGGCCCCTGCCGCACCCAGAAGCAGGACTCCCAAGGGAGCTGAGTTCCATCCGAGTGCCCAGACATGAAAGCCACGGTAGGACAAGTAACGAATGAAGGCAACCAACTTTTGCCATAATCGAGGGCCCTGAAACTTTCTCCGGCTACCAAGTATCGAAGAAAGGAAGTACCCAACAATGAAGATCCCAATTGAGCACATAAAGAACGCGATGGTCGGTAGAGCGTACACATAGTCGGCGATGTACCTATTTGCATTGCATAGATGTCAGCGACAACTCTAAGGACTATGGACGTCGGTCGGGGAGCATCCAGGGAGCAATCTGACCAAAAGTGCCATCGCTGCATATAATAGTCGCATTGTTCCGTTGTGAAGCCATCACAGGTGAACTTTCGACTCCCTGTCAGCTGGACTGGTGGTGTGAGCCAGGCTGCGGACATATTGGCAGACTTGCCGCAATCTTTTTCGAGGAAGATGATGTGAATCTCCGGCCAAATGTTGCAGGACAGAGGACCTGGGGTTTATTACTATTACTAAGTACTTCTATCGAGTTGTCCATTAGTGCTGTCTGAAGGAGTGCGGCGTGATCAAGTAGAGCCCTGACGGGTCTAGCGCTTTGCCCCGCTTGGCAAGATCCGAGCCGGGTGTTGGCATGAGCAGATTTGAGCTTGATTACCCTGCTATCCATTGGTTGCTAGTCCTTAGCCTCCCGTGTCTGATGACGGTGTGTGGCTTGATAGTGGATTTCTGACATGCCCTGTGCATACTCCTCACTGCTAAGGATGCGCTGTTTCGCTCAGTCTCTATCCTACACCAACTGAGGCACCTCGATATGACATTATTACATTTTCCTGTGAGTATCGAAAGCTCGGAACGACATACACAGCGACGACCCAGCTAGTCTTATGGTTCATCAATGATCTTATAATTGCCTTAGGCAAACTACCCGGTATTGTCACACCCGCCGTGAGTAATCTAACTCCACCTCCTGGCTTCATCGACCAGTCGCGGTCGCGTTAGGTTGCGCGGAGGTGATTTGTTAACATTCGACCCAATGCCCCAAAAGGAGACAATGTGCCGAGATCGTGTCAAAGATCTAGCTTCATACTAGTCAATGTCGAAAACGATCGCTGGTGTAGTTTGCGTGGTGTGCGTCATAGTATGCTAGAGGTGGAAAGATGAGTCAAAATCTAAACGTGTCCGGCTTGATTTTCTCAACAAATGACTATGCCGCGTTGGCCTGGTGCCACCAATTAGGGCTAGAATACGAAATAAAATGACCCGTTCCTTCCGTCTTTTATGTGCAGTGAAAACTTTTGTCCTGCTCGTGCCGTAAGTCACAAAAGAATATTCAAAAATACGAGCATATCTCAACCAACCAGGATTTTCCTAATAATTCCAACGCCTCAGTCGTCAGGCTTCCGACCTTACCAAGAAAGCCAACGTTCTACATTCCTCTTGGTTGAAATTAATGCCCCGTTCCCATCTCGAGGCTGATGCCGGGCTGCACATCACTTGGAGTCAAGCCCCAGGCGAACGATTTCACTCCTCGTGAGGGCCGTGAGACCCTTTGAGTTGAGCAGTAAGGATACATTCCTACATCACCATCCGGCCTTGCTTGCCATCATCTGTGTGTTACTATTCATGTTTTCGAACCTACCAGACGCTTGGCGTCTGAATATGGTAGTGGGCCCCTGCAGTTGATGATTGAGATACCACTGTGCGATCTTGCTCTTTTCCACATCCAGACCACTACCGCTGCAACTAAAAGTCCACCTCTTCCAATGGACCAAGAGGGACAACGTATGCATGGAGGAGGGAGCAGGCTGAGATTGACATGATCAGCGCTAAAAAACGGTCGCAAGACGTGATTGACACTGAGAATTGTTCCTGACGGGATTATTGCGCTCAACTATTGAGCAGCGGACAGCAGAGCAGCCGCTCCGCTCGCTACAGCCTCTGGCTCAATAGCTGAATCCCTCCTGATGCAACCAGATCTCGCGTCCCGGCAGCCCCCCGGCCAGGATTCGCGCTTGAGCACTGGCAACCGCTTGGCTCACATCGTGGGCCATCGAGGCCGGCCCGCAGGACACGACACCCACGCAGCGGCCGGTCCGCGCTGACAGAGGCGGACGCTCGACCTCTGCGCCGACGATATCCACTAGCGGCGGCCTACCCTGGCGAAGCAGAACCGGCAGCGAAACTCCAGCCGTGAGCGCCTCCTTACCACCGACTCCCTCCTCATCCAAGGTCGCGTGCCTCCCATCCTGCGGCTCTTCCTCCGCACACAGCGAGTGGGGTTGCTTTTCCACCCCCGCAACAATCATCTTCTGACTACTGTTCTGGTCTTGTGTGATGTGCGTCTCGTGGATGACAATCTTCAGTCCGCCGTTGGCGCCTGAGCTCTGCATTCTGCCCTCGCTCTCCTCCTCCTCCTCCTCCTTCTTCTTCCCCTCGCCTTCACTTGCGCTCCCACCCAGGGGAAGCATGGTGCTGGCCGTCACCAGGGATCGCACGGCAGCACGGTACCACCGGGTGAGCTCGGGGTCGCGGGTGGCGATGACCACGCGCAGCTCGCAGGGGGCATCGGCTTCGAGGTCGTGGACGGCGTGGCAGAGGTAGTGTTCAATGAGTGGGAGGGTGAAGACAGCACCGTCGCCGCCGCCGATGAGGAGGGTGGTGGAGGCGGGGCTGCACAAGCGACGCAGATGGCGGTGTGAGACGCCCCCGTACGGGCCTTCGAGGAGGACCGGGACAGACAACGGGGTGAAGGAGCAGGTCGCGCGGGCCAGCAGGCGCTTGGTGGTCCCTTTGCGGACACGCGCGTAGAAGACGAGCTCTGACCGCTCGAGGTCAAGCGCGTTGGGCAACGAGGTGATCGTGAATGGATGGGCGGTGAAAACATCGGCATCGGGCGTGGCGAAGCGCAGGAAGAGATGCTGGCCAGTGCGCCAGTGCACGCGGGAGGTCGGGATCGTGATCTTCAGTGTCTGGCGCGAGACCGCCTCGATCAAGGCCCGATGGTGCCATCCAAACTCGAAAAAGGCCTTCAGCTGCGAATAGGTCCAGCAGAGGGTGTAGAGCACGGCCGTTGCGATGAAGTAGTCCCACGAGGATAGGCGGAAATCGCAGTGGAAGAACAAAAAGATAATGAAGACCAGCGCGGCGACATAGTGGGAGAACCGGAAGAACTCGTAATAACGATTGCTAGAGTGAAGGTTTGTTGTTCAGTGGATGAAGAGGGAGGGGGAAATACTAGGGTTTGTGCTGTACATACCGAAGCCATGAGATCGAGAGCACGGTAAGCCACGTTTGGGCGAGTAGCGCGACTACACCCGTTACCCAGACGCCTCCATCATTCCACTGATACACGAGGTCTCCTTTCCAGATGTGGTAGATGATGAATGGAAAGGTATGAATTAAAGCCAGCACCCACATGGCCCAGGCAATCCACCCGTGCCATAGATTCAGCTTCTCATGCGGGATCCTCGTCAATGCACTCACTGGGTTGGCCTTCGACCCCAAGACACTTTTATTTGTCTGATCAGCACACGCTTTCCACCTGGAGCACATCAGAACAGACACACTATATGAAGGGCATGCAGCCGAGAGCCATCCAGCCGGTTCGGGTGGCGATCGGTGGCGAATTACCGAAACCAAGCTCCCTGGTGTTGGGCCAGTAGTAAGGACGAGGACCAAGAGTCATTGCTCAGAATTTGTTAGCAAGACGGTCACAAGTTGAGATTTCAGTGAGAAGTCCTACTAAAGAAAAAGATAAGTCCGACCGCACCCAACAGCAGGCTTCCCAGCGAGGGCGTATACCATCCTCCGAGGCGCCATTGCTGGGCGGCTAGGAGACGCACAAAGGCGAACAGGCGAGAGAAACACGATCCGCTCTTTCGTCTATGCGCAGGAACCAGAAGACCGAGCAGTTGACCGAGGGTGACAAGAATGATAGCAACGAGAAACAAGGCCACCGTGGGCAGGGCGTAACGGTGATCAGCCTCGTACCAAAACACCCACCAAGAACTTTTGAAGGCGCATTGCTCCGGGGTCAAACTACACGTCCCGGCATCGCGGCTGGAGTGCAGGGCGACGGGCGAGGTCAGCCACGGTATCATAACCATGCTGGATGTGTGATGAAGATACAGAGAGGAAGATAGAATAGAAGAGGCGAAGAGGGAAAGAGTAAGGGGAGGTGTTTAGTAGTAGACAGGATAGAATTGAAGCGAAGTGGTTCTCACTGTCCCTACATTCCTTATGCCTGTGGTAAACAATCGCACTGCATGCATATCCTTTGTAGAAGAATAATGACTCTGTGGCGCCACTGACTTGATAGTAGATTGTAGTATTCTGCATGGAACATGCCACGCGTCAAGACAGGATTTAGTCCTCGGGGTAATACTCCCTCACAGCGTTTGTTTACTGAGCCAATTGTCCATTCTAGCCAGAGCCATTCTTTGCCGGGAAATTATACGGAGTACAGTCGGGATATGAGCACATTTGAGGGGATTTTGGGCAGGGCAGTGCGCGGCCTAATGCATTAGCGTCAAACTAGCGTAAGAATTAGCGTCCGAGCCTGGCGAGTCCGTCTGCGCGGGAATGAGAGGATTCGAGATATCGGTGGTCGAAGTTGTTGGCCAATATGTCAAGGCGCAGTCTTCTCCCAATTTATTTGTCTCTCGGCTTGCCCTTTGTCACCTTCTTTCTCCCTTCTATCATCTTATCCGCCTTTCAAATCCCAGCAATCTTTCCCACCTTCGCCCTCCTCATTCCTCCGCGCCCGCGGCGGCATTTTCCTCCAACGCAATGATGGACATGGACATGAGCTCCACCACAACCATGGCAATGGCCATGGGAACCAGCACAGCCACGAGCTCCAGCACAATGAGCATGTCAACCGACTCTTCCTCTTCTATGTCAATGTCCATGACCATGGTCTTCTTCACCTCGACCACCACACCCTTGTACTCCAACGCCTGGACACCCTCCACCACCGGGCAGTACGCGGGAACATGCATCTTTCTGATTGCCCTGGCCGTCATTCTCCGTCTTGTCCTCGCGCTAAAACCGATATTCGAGACACGTCTGTGGAATGACGGGATATCGAGATCCTGCCCTGAGCATGGGCATCGAAGAACCCGCTGGGCCATCAACCCTGCCGTCGGCCGCGCCACGTTGGAGTTGGTGGTCGCCGGCGTGGGTTATCTGCTGATGCTGGCGGTCATGACCATGAATGTAGGATACTTTCTGTCGGTGCTCGCCGGTCTGTGGCTAGGGACATTCGTTCTGGGGGGATGGGCCAGTGATACACTGTATGCACACCATTGAGATGGACACAAACACACAGGATGAGAGAGACATGGAAGAGAAAACAGAATGAAACCGCTTCGCATTCCTTGTCACTGCCATGACACGATTAGCAGTATCGCGTAGGAACCAATTCGTGAAGGACACACTATGGCCGGAAAGAATCAAGAAAATCATCATCATCGCCCTTGCCCTTGGACTCGGGCGGCGATGGTTCCAGACTATCGGATGGCATTGGCCCGTTTATTCGCTTTCTGGGTCGTGTCGCCACCGTCATCATCACGTTGGGCTCTGCAGAGGGTTGCCATTGGAGCACACAAGGAGCCTGGGTTTGAGATTGAGCGACGACGCGCACAAATTCACACAAGTATCTCTCTACCGGGACAAGTGGTCATGAGTTAGTTCATTACTATGCACACAAAAACAAAGACTGATAAAGATGCATAGAAGAAGATCTGCGCCACCAACCGTTGGGCACAGGTGCCATCACACACCAGAGCTCCCCACATTGGCAATTGGAAGCACCAGCGTGTGGACACTGTGTTAACGGACGACCCACTTTGCGCACACGACGCATTGGGCGCTCAAAGTGCTGACATTTCAGTACGCGGTGGCCACGAATGCAGATCCGACTGTGACCATTTGCCAAACTCTTGGGTCAGTACTGGGAATTGAACGATGACTCAGGGGATGTTGTGCCTTGGAATCAACTGACACACTCAAACAGCATGCGAGTGACCAAAGGTGGAGCCTACCTACCATGCCCAGCGTATCCCCTCTTTATCCACCGCCATGGTATCGAGGGCTGTCTGGATCGCTCGGTTCTTAGCTGAATTTCACGGAATGTCCGTCCAGGTGGTCAGAGCACAGGGTCAGGAGGGAAATGGTTCGTTAAGCCTGGGGAAATCCTCCACACCGTGCGTAGAACCTGCCAAAAGTGCCATGGCGGGGATTTATCTTCCCTCGATAGCCGCGGGCAAGATACTATCCTGGTATTTAAATTGCGCAAATATGCGCGTCAGCTAGGGCGGATGGTGTACGCAAGCTGGAAAATGTGCTACTACAGCCGCATTTGTGGCGGTGAAACATAGATTTACGCACTGTACGTTGGTTGCGTTGACGATCACTGCATTTTCTCAGGAGGGCTTGAGCTGCCAACTTCTGCTCTGGGGTTAGCGTGTCCCGCACGAGCAGGATGGGAGGAATCTGCCCGAGTAAAAATGAGCATATTATCAGTTTAGCTAATGTGGGCCTTTTTTCTAATCTCTGTTCCCTTTTTTTTTTTTTTTTTTTGACCAGACTACTCGCTACTTCCAACACTCCACCCAACCGGATCCATTTCCAACCTTGCTGACAATTATGGTCTGATTGTGTAGGAGATGGAGCTATCGGTCATAGTATGATAATAGCAAAGCTCACCACATATCCAGTACGCTCCATCGCAGCAATCACAAGGTTGACGAATAGCGGACAATTCACCATCTCCCCAATTTTGGCAACACAAGCAGTGCTTGATGAGTCATCTGCCAGTGCGACTTTGATTACTTTCGTCACCACTCTGCGAGACGCATTTTGCATTTATCAAATACTTCTATGTCTGCGGCAAAATCGCCTGTTCGCGTCCAATATAGGCAAGGATAGGTGACTTTTATTTGGATCAGCTGAATATCTGTTGTGAGCTCGCATACGAGCTAATGGTACAGTGGTTACTTGCGGAGAGAAGACAGGGATGCATAGCATAAATATTGCTTTATTTCGTAGAAGAGATATCTACTTGATTGGTTGGAGGCACTGAGGCTAGCTATGTACTTGAATTACAATCAGACATATCCCTGTCTTTTGTCTGAGATTTGCTCTCGCCGAGTGTAAGGGACTTCATTCAGTGGCATTGTGCATGCGAGTGAGCGCATTTGAGCGGGAATCGGAACAAGGTTTCTTTCTGCCCGTGCGAAAAGGAGAAGCGGACCGGCCGAGCTGGTTCCGGGGTCTACGGGGGGGCACATGTCGAACTGACAGGTCATACTGGGATTATGTAGGCTCTTGTACAAAAACCTGGCCTTCTGGATAGTCAAACCACTGAGCTTCTAGCGAGAAGCAAGATGGCTCCAAGTGTGACCATGAATGTCTCCGAGTCCGAACATCATGAGGGAATGGCCATGTCGGCCATATTCCGCGGTGGCACGCAGATCACGCTGTTTTCGTCTGCTCTCTCCACCCAGTCTGTGGGCGCTTATCTGGCTGCCCTGGTAGCGCTATGTCTTCTTGCATGGTTCAACCGCTTCCTCGCTGCCCTTCGCTACCAGATTGAGGCCACGCAACCCCTCAGTTCTGGTTCCAGTCGCTTCCCCCTGCAGTCGTTTCCAACCGCGGAAGAATGGGACGATGGCAGCGCCAATTCGGCTCCAAGTGCAGGCCTTATTCCAGGCCATGAGAAATCCCATGAGAGCAACGACCGGCTGCTCCCCCGCCTTGTTTGCCCCTTCCCCACATGGGCTGCGTCGAGACCGTGGCGCTGGCGCATCGATGGCCTAAACACACTCCTCGAAGGGATTCGGTCCTTAACTGGCTATCTGCTGTAAGTGTTGTTGATACTTATGATGAAAGTCTGGTCGTTAATCACCGTGGTCCGACGCATATCCAGAATGTTAGCCGTCATGACCTTCAACCTCGGGGTTCTGGCCGCGATTGTGGCAGGGGTCATGGTCGGGGAGCTCACTCTCGGTCGTTTCTCCCATTCGGCTCAGTCGGCATGGCAGGATGGGGCCTGCCATGATGATTAGCATTTTATATATTTCCGCCGGCAAATCTCTGTATAGCTTTGTCTTTGATCTTGATTTTCTTCTCGAGCTACTTGCACATGTCTCGGGATGTTGACTATGGAAGCTTACATAAATACAAGGTTTCCCCTTTCTTTTTGTTTCCCCCTCTGTCTCTGCCCTTTGAACGACCTCTAAGGCTTTCTTTTCTCACGCTCGCCGCACCATGAACGACTCATGCTCAAGAACCTAGAGGCCAGAGCAGTCCCACGATAAGTACTTCGGAATACCTTGGACAAGCTCTGATCATGACCTTACCGGTGGTTTGGGGTGAAGAACGCGGCCTTTTGCCATGTCCATGGCAACCGTGCCAGTGGAAGCCGCGGGACAGGGTTGGGCTCGAAGCTGAAGGTGCTTGTTCGGGGGGGCAATTTCGCTTTCGCGGTGGCTTTGGCCGTGATAGTGCTTAACATCAGAAAATTACAATGCCTCAAGCTACTTATCTTGCTTGTATGATCAATGATCTTAGTGAATGAAGAGGCTGGACCAGATCGTGTGACAGGATATAGAAGTTTATGGTTGGAATGGAAAGAGTACGCCATAGGGGCCTATTTAAGCTTATTAGGAACCTAGTCTTCTGTTGGTGTGAAAATAAGTGCAATCCAACGGGTCCGCCCTGATCTGTCCAGCCTCTCATGGACACGGGGCAGGAAAATTGATTACGAATGCAATGGGACAAATAACGTGAGGACGGCTAGTGAACATACCGTTTAAGCATTCTGTATACTGTATGAAGTGTGATCAGATTGTGTATGTAGCCTGAAACGTCAAGCATGTACAGGAATGGAACAGATGTGGACATGTTGAATGCAGCACTAGATAGATCTTCCCCGCGTGCATACCCGCTCAAATTCCCTCAATCCCCTTTCTTTCAACTTCGGTATGAATGCCACACAGTCGCGTCTGCCGCCGGTAATCTTTTGCTTTTCGGTCCACTGTATCTCCGGTAATCAATTCTGGAGAGCGCGGAGTGACTAGCAAAAGGGTCAGATTTCGGATGCGACGCCCACTGCAGTACCTCGTGGACGAGTGATTTTCTCGAGGTTGACGTGGATATGACCCAAGAGAGCCTGACCGGCGGGATCCCCTCACTCTGTCTGACCAGGGGTGTGTTTTAAGAGACTGCCATTCCGGGCACGAGGGTCATCTAATGGGACAGGACTCCCCCCGTGCGCTCGTTCTTTCTCCCCCATCTCACCCCTTTTACTCTCGCACTCTCATGGACATGCGTAAGATCGCCTTAAGCCCAACGGTCTCTCTGGGAGGCTACATCACCTCGTCCAGCACCCAGAGACGATCCTTTGCCTTGGCCTCCATGCGGAGCGTGCACGGGAGATCCGACTCCAGCAACAACTCTGCCTCCCCGCTGTGGCCGTCCACGGCCGACGATCTGACCCCGTACCGCATCCTTGGGCTACAGCCCGGCGAACCGTATCGCAAGAGCGCCTTCTACGAGCGGGCCAAGCTCTACCACCCCGACCGACACAGGGCCGTGCCGTCCGGGCTGGCCCCGGCCATTCGGGCCTCGCGGTACCGGATGGTCGTCGCCGCTCACGAACTGCTCTCGGACCCGCACAAGCGGGAGGCCTACGACCGTTCAGGCGTGGGGTGGAAGTGGGGAGTGACCGCCGCTCCGCAGACGACCGCTGGTGGTGCTCGACGGACGTACACGTACATGTACACGTCTCAGCGCCCTTCTGGGCCGGGGCCTGGTCCTGCCGGTGCTGGTACCGGTACTAGTGCTGATGCAAGTGACTACAGCAATGCGACAACTGCCGCCGACAGAAACCCCCCCGCGCTGCGATTCTTCCGCACGCGCTCCGGCCTGCTCCTCGTGGTCGTCATTCTCGTCTTCTTCCAGAGCTGTCTATTTATTGTTCAGTACAATAAGGCGCAGCTCCGCGCATGTCAAGTCCACCGGCATTGCCAGCGCTTGCTGGAGCGCCGCCGTACCCGCGCGGGTAACCTGGCTGCCCTGCCGGCCGCCCAGCTCGAGCGCTTTCTCCTCAATCGTGATCCCAGCGGTATGGGGCTGACGGGGGTTGAAAGGTATGTCTATCGGGATGTCCTGCCTACTTGCGCGCATGGTCCTGTGTAGGCCTGGGTCTGAGCGGTGAGGTAAGATGCCTCGGAATGAGGTCCGTGATCTATAATGCTTTGCAGGCAGCGAGAGGAGAATTGCACGCCCCGGGCGAGGGGATGGTAACTGCAGGTCAGAGACGAATACATCCCGATAGGAAGTTGGAATGTGGCGAGAGCCGCCGAGATGGTCTCTCAAATTATTCGGTCGGTGTGGCTGATCTCATCTGGCTGCGTGATATTTAGCGCGTCTTTCCTGCACTGTCGTTTTAGCATGGGGCAATCATTTAAAAGACCCACCACGGTGTAGAGAGATCGCTCCATGTAGCCCCCTTTCAGTTACCTAGTCACAAGGCTTGACAGGCCGTCTGAGAGTTAATGGTGGTGATCTGAGGCAATTAGCTAGTGAGCCACACAATCATCCTGAACCTATCAATAGAGCGAGCGACAAAGCCATGTCAGTAGTTATGGTCTTGAGAGTTTAACAGCAAACCGAGGTCTTATATCCACCGGCCTTTCGCATCACTATATTCCGTCTTAATCTCGTGCAGTAGCTCATTAGTTCCTGGTTGGTCTCGCTTCGCGACTTGCATGCAACGATCATGCAACCGTAATGACCTAATTCAATTCATAAAAGATTCTCAGATCATTGGGCTGTCAAAAGATAGCCAGAAACAGTGAATAGGGAGTAACGCGGCATCCATAGGTCAGACACGGTGAGTGACTGTATGCAAAATAAACAAAAACCCGAAGGTGTCAAGTATAACACCAAGCCATCCGACCAGAATCAAGCACAAATCTCAAACTCAAAGCATTGCAATCATAATTTATGTACAGGGGAAAGGTGGTGCTTAGTTATCTACGCGCACCATCAAATAAGCCCAGCGGCGACCGTCATTCCCCATAGATGCAGAAGAGGGTCGGTAAGGATCCAAGGCTCATCCCGAGGAATCCATGTAGCGCAGATTATGTTATGTCAATCGGTGAGTTCTCAGGAAACCCCAGTAGCTTTGCGCTGAAAGTCGAGGAACCGCCGCATCCTGCGCAGATATGTCCACCCCCACCAAATGCTGCTTCGCGGCTCCGTTGTCGCTGTCTTCATCCCTGCCACCGAGGGAACGATGCCGAAAGTATCAGTTGCTGGGGAGATCGGAGAGTCTAGGCCTATCACTACGGGCTCAATTGCTGACTTCGTCATCGTTGTCGAGGCGCCGCGAACCACCAGGTCCTCCTCCACCCAGCTGAGCGCAAAGTAACCCCCGCGACCCGCCGCCACATCGGCCGCCACCCAATCCCCGCGCACCTGACCGCTAGCCAGGGCATCCCGGACGAGCTTGGCTTTCGCCACACAGACAACCTGGTGTCCCGCGAACTGCAATACACAGTTATGCCAGGGGGTGGGGATGTGGAGTTGGTGCGGCGAGGCATCGTCGACAAAGCTCCCGAGGCCGTCGGCGAGCCTGTGTACGCGGCGGATGAGGCGGGTCGTGGCTCGGTCAAAAAGGCAGATCCCAAATTTTGGCCCGCGGTTGGCGTGGGCGTGAATGGACAATCGCAGAAAATGCGGCAGAAAAAGCTCCGTTAGGTTTGAGTACGCCTGGTTGCGCAGAACCATCTCGAAGGCCAGCTTCTCGGCCAACCTTTTGCGCTGCGAGCGAGAGAGCCCCCGCGCCACTGCGTGCTCCTCCAAGTCTTCGAGCATGAAGCGTGCAAACCCCCTGTAGAGCGCCAGCACGCTTTTTTCCTGCATTAGGATCTGGTTGCGGAGGCCGTCCGGGTTGGAGCCGCACATGTGCAGCAGCATCTGTCGACAGAGTTCAGATTCACCTGTCAGATCGGTGGGAATGTGGTGCTGCAAGGCTGGGAGGGGGAGGTCGTTGCCCGTCTGCCCGCCTTCGAGGAGGTCGGGCAGCGATAAGAAGCTGATGCGTTGGCAGTTGCTGTCGTCGATGGCGCGGTTCAGGTTCTGCAGTTGCGCGCCGTACTGGTCCACCTGGGTGTCATCGACGCCGACTAGGGGAATAAAAATTTGTGTTCAGTACGTGTGACTGGAAAAAGACACAGCTTGGGGTGAACGACTCACTGCAGTCGCTGAAGACATGTCCGTCACTGATGATGCAGAGATATGCCCCAGGGACGTAGATCTCCTGCATACGACCCAGCACCTCGTGTAGCCGCCGCAACGCCAGCTCCTCTCCCCGATCCGGACCCACGCCGCCCACCTTGTTGAGATTCGACGACTTGCAGGGGAAAGCAGGCAGACACATCACAACTGGAAGCTCTCGGGAAGTGAAAAATGATATGGTCTCGCGCATGGCGACCCTACCAACCGCGTCCCACTGCGAACCGGGGGGCTGAAATAGCAGGTCTTGTTCAAACACTTCGACCAGGCGATCCGCAAGAGGCTCCCCATTGCAGCAGACCGGCTTCGTCAGCTCGTCGCCATACCGACTCAGGTGGTTGAGCAGTAACCGAGCAAAGACTTCGTCCGACTTGCGATCTGCGGAGAGGTCGCGTACTACCACGCCGAACACCCCCTGTGGCTGCTGCAGCTCATAGACAGAGATGTGTACTCCATCCTCCCACCTGTAAGAGAACACATGCCACAAGCTTGGCTCCTGCGTCGCGAAGACGGGTTGTAACTTGAACCACGCCTCTTGCAAGCGGACGTTATCATAGCCGAACGATTGGATAAGGTTGCCTTCGCCAGTACGAATATAACTGGCAAATGCCCGTGTATAAAAAGAATGACTGTCCATTGGGACGGAGGTGGATAGCAGACGATAAGAGAAGATAATTGGGGCTGTAAGTATTGGAGAAGACGACAGGGGGTACAAGCAGATCTAAACGCACGCTCGGAAAGGGGCTTCACAAGGGTCTAGTTGCACGGAAAGGCTCGGCGAACTATATACTCTCTAATGGATGCATTCTCTACTGACAGTCTTGTCAAAAGGAATAATGTACGACCACCGATTCGAGACTGTTGGACGCCGGCTTGGGAGCCTCGGCAAGGTGCCCACTCGGCCATGTCTCGCTAAAACAAGGTCTATAAAGAGGAGCCAGGATTCGGAGATGGAAGAAGTCACCCAGTCCAACCGAGCGCATATCTCACCCCGACCTTGGCCAGAGAGTGTCTGCATGTCGACGCGATGCTTCCATACCTTCTTGGGCTCCTTGGACTTCTGCTAACACTCTATTACAGTTTTCTCGCCCCTCCGCAGCAGCCTTATGGTGTGCCCGCGGTTCCATTCTGGGTAAGCCTACTCCCTTTGATCAAGGATGTCGACCAGGAGGAAGTCTTTCTGCACTACATCGCCCCTCTCCTTCGCGAGAAGGGAGCCGTCAAGGTTTTTTTCGCCGGCCAATGGAACGTACTCGTGCAGCGACCATCGCTCGTTGCGGAGATATTCAAGCGAGAGGATATCTACCACAAGAGTGGCAACCAGAAAAAAATTCCACACAGTGTCTTGGCCGAGTTTTTAGGTGAGTTTGGTCTCGGGTCCTTGGTCCCTTGGCTTTCTTTCCGTCTGCCGCCTTAATCATGCGCAGTATTGAGCAGATTTGTCTTACGCAGGATCAAACATCATCTCCGCGCATGGCGAGGAGTGGCGGCGATATCGCGGAGTGGTGCAACCCGGCCTATTGCCCAATGCATTTGCGGTCGAACCACTGGTGGAACATACCCAGCAGCTCTGCGAATGGCTGCTCCACCTACAGAGTGCACAAGGGTCACATGGAGTTGTCGTGCAGGAGGTCCTGCAGCGGTACTCGAGTGCTAATCTTCTGCATTGCGTGCTGGGCCAGCCGGATGTTGCGCGAACCATGATGGGGGACCAGCCTGCGCCGCCCCTCCACCAGCTGCAGCTTACCCTCAAACAGTACCTATTCCGGCCTCTGTTCATGAGTTTTCCCGTGCTGGATCAGTTGAGTGCGCTCATCCCTTCTCGAATACGGGCCCGCCAGCTAGTGCGCAGCTTCGCCGCCGCGCTGCAGTCCACGATCCTGCGGGACCGCGCTGACCACCAGCACCAGCTCGATGGCAACCTCGGTAGTCGTCTAGCGCAGGCCTGGCGCGAGGGAAATTTGTCGGACAAGGAGTTTCGCGATAACCTGATGGTTCTGTATGTGGCAGGACAGGAAAACCCGCAGTTACTGATGATTTCGACCCTGTACCTGCTGGCCCAACATCCGGTAAGCCACCTCCCACACTCAGGTCCGAAGCCCCGAGACGAGGCTTGATGTATACTATCATTCGTTATTTTAACATAGGCTATCTCACACAGGATGTTCAGTCGCGCCTCCGCGACGAAATCCGCTCCTCTGGCCTGACAACAATCTCAGCAACGCATCAAGACTGGACCCGACTTCCCTATTTGACGGCCATCATCCTCGAATCCCTGCGCCTCTTCCCACCAATCTCACAACTGATCAACCGACGAGTGGCCCAAACTACCCAGCTCGGCCACGAAATTGAGCTCCCCGAGGGCATGTATGTAGGGTATCACAGCTACGCGACCAATCGCGACGAGGAAGCGTGGGGCTCCTCGGCCCACGAGTTCCAGCCGACTCGCTGGGGTACGACCGACCAGGAAATTATGCGGACGTACCGTCGGGCCAAAGCGAGGGCTAACTTCATTTCATTTCATGGTGGGGCGCGTGCCTGTCTCGGCGAGAAATTCGCCATGCTTCAGATGCGCATCCTGCTTGTGGGATTGCTTGATAAGCTGACCTGGAGATTGGATGAGAGCTGGGTCCCCAGGATGGTGCCTGTAAGAATTGTTTCCTCCTTTTCGTATGTTCGTTGTTTAGACGAAGATGTCCTTTCCAGGGTGATTTCTCTGAGCCAAAATGTTGATTTGGCTAACATATGGGGGTACGACCCAGGCGGGACCTCTACACCCTCGCGGCTTGCGACTCGTGTTCAGTCGGTATGATCAGGAGTGAGCATGAGGCATTTCTGGACTAGGGTAAGACATGAGGGACAATCAAAGCGCAGTTTTCCCTGTCCGTTGAACACGAAGTGAATATCGGGTGGCGGGTGGGGGTGGAGAGGGGGTACAATTGACGGTATTGGTACTGATAGCCACGAGAGACTTTGAGCATGATATGACTCTGGCTGCACAAACCCCCGTTGACTGGCGTTTTCCTTGAGAGCTTGACAGGCTTTTACTTCGAGCCACACCTTTTGCTGGTAGTGGCTTGGCATTCGTTTATTTGGACAAATATCGCCGAGTTTGGCTTATGAGTGCGCAGTAGTAGCTGTTTACTGTAGCTTAGTTCTGGGCACCTTGGTAGACTACAGAGTGCTGCGCAGAGGACTAGTGCTTACTCTCTACGCTGTCACCTCATTCTGTCGTGACTTGTTTTTTCTTTTTTTTAGATTCGGCCTACTCTTTTTTCTGATTTGACGGACTGTCGAAGTGACAGCCCCCAAATAGTGGTAGTGACAATTCATTTTGACCGAACCATCCCATCCGGATTTGGAGAGTTGCATCAGACGAAGACTCTGTATGTCCGGCATTAGGAGTCTATCCTAGCCATAATCGGTAATCCTCACCCGTGGAATTGCAATCGTGCCATCTAATTCCTCTGTCATACAGCAGAATGGCATCCAGCCTCGACACCTCCTAGCCGTGTTAGACCGATTTCTGAACCATTGAGTCTTACAGAGCCACAACCCAAAGCTCCTACCTCTGGTTCCTCCTAAAGTTCCAGTGGTATCCTCGCCTGATCAATTCCCTTGCGCATATCAACGGAGTAGTAGAACCCCAGCGCCACCAGCATGAGCAACAAATTAGGGATCATCGGAAATCGCAGATTATGCGTGCGGTTTTGGATCACCCCCATCACCAGCGGGTTGATCCACCCCGTAGCCAAATCGAGGGTAATTTCCAACCCAAAGAACTGGGCCTCAGCGTTGCGCGGGATTAGCGAGGAATAGATGGCCCGGTTGTAGGCGCGCAGGGCGCTGCTGGTCGACATAAAGAGCACCTGCTCGACCCAGAACTCGGCGCCGTGCTTGTAGCCAATGGTGACGTGCGGGCTCATTCCGATGCACCCCCACAACACGCACAGAATATTGATGACCAGCAGGGTGTACGCCCAGGCTTTCACAGGTAGGCGCACCCGCGGGTACAGGAACATAAAGCTCAGACTCCCCACACACGCCAGGATTACGCTCATGAATGACCAAACTGAGTACACCCCGGAGCTGCGCGAAATGCCGGTCACTTGGAGAAAGAGTGAGCCGATGATGGAAAGGTGGTTGCTGTATCCCGTGTTCCATAGAACCCAGCCAATACACAGCTTGAAGGCTTCCGAGTAGCGTAAAGCGTGTCGGATGAGGCGCACCCAATTGCGGATGGGAAGGGTCAGGACGTCGTGCGGCCGCTCCAACTTCTTGCCTTGCACATTGGGAAGGAGCCAGTGGCCGAGGATGGCAAAGAGAACTAGATGGTGGGTTGGTTAGAGGTTGGTGATTGCGTGGGGAAGGAAGGGGAGGGAGGGAGCAATGCTTACTTGTCATGCATCCCGCAATTGTGATCGCGAGAAGGTAGTTGAAGTAGCCCACGGCGACATAGGAGCCTCGACCATAGACGAGGATGATGCCGATAATTAGCGCTGCCAGAGCCCCGACATTGCTCGAGACCAGCGCCAGCACACTGACCGACACACCCTTCTGCCAGATCCGGCCTTCGGTGCTGTTGTCACTGCGTCCCACCACCGAGGTCCGGAACCAGCCCGTAGAGCGCATGAAGATCGGAATGTAGGAGCCTTCTATGACGGTGTAAATGCCCTGCACGGTGGTGAGAGCGCAGTACAGGACCGACAGTGCCGTCAGATGGCTATAGCTTTGCCCGGTGAGCCCCGCGAAGGGGAGGGCCAGGATGCCAAACAGGAAGATGGAGGTCATCATCATGGTCTTGCGGTAGTCTTAGCCTCCTCATTAGCCTGTAATCCAGTAGTGACGTGCTCCATTGCAACAGGTACATACCGCAATAATCCGCAATCCCAGCGGTGATGATCGCCAACACGCCTTCAGTGGCACGGCTAATCGCACGGAGGTACAGTCTGTCATATTACTCAGCGACGGGTGTGCAGAGGAATTCCAGGAGACAGTCTTACGTATAGCTGGCATAGTCAATCTCGCCGGTGCCGAACTTAACCACGCAGTTGATATTCGTGCCGCGTCGGGGACACGGCTTGTTGGTCCCTGCTTGGTGCCCTAGGACGTTAGCCGCGGAGAGAATAGCCGCCGACGCATACGTCGACGACATTCCCGATACTGGCCCAGTCTATTCAAATTCAATGATAAGCATCGCAGCCAGAGGGACTTGACAGGCCTGGTCCTACCGAGAAGCAGAGCACGAGAAACCCCCACAGCGCGCGTTTGGAGTTGAAAACCCCGTCGCTGGCCGATTGCTGCTCGCGAGCTTCGACATCTCCCTCCACGTCGGTTTGGGTGGCCAGAACCCTTTTGCCACTGTCATGATCATGAGGACCGGACACATAGTGCTCGAGCGACTCGCGGTTCTGCACAGACATAGTGGCAAGTTAATAGCTAAGGTGCAGCAAGGGATGTTGAGAAAAAAGAAATCAGGTCGCAATAGACCCTCGAGTCAAGACAAATGCTTGGTTGATATACTGCCATAGACTGGATTTTGCCGACTAGCTCATGCAATTGAGAGAAAAATCACCCCTGCTATTAGCCACCAGTTCTTGCGCCAAGTCCATGGTCTTCACCACTACGACATGTCCGCATGAGGTGGCCAATATGTGTCGCGGGGTAGCCAGCCATCACATCTCTCTATCCTCTCGCACAATCATGAGCTGATTTCACCATTCGTGTTTTCGGCTGCGAGCCACTAGTTGAGCGAATTTGCGCGGTTTAAAATCACGAGGGACATATGGCGCTCCGATCCTGCAGCTGCCCCACTCAGCCTGGGCTAACCTCGCCAAAGTCCGGAATTGTGACGCTCGCTCCCTCAATATGTCCATACCTCATGGGGGTGATAATCAAAGAGGCTGACTGTTATCTGAGCGGTGCTTGAGAAGTATTATTAGAAGACATTCTCCGGCCATGGGCCCCGGTGAAGGGCAGAAATTGAGTCAACTCAAGCAATTTTTGGGCTAGGCAAGAGAGTAGCCCCCCTTTCACCTTCCCCTTGGACCACTTTCGACCAGGCCATCATGTCGAACGAAAAGCAACACCAACAAGAAGAGGTGCAGATCGTATCTCAACCGCGATTGCCAGCTCCCCTGGACCCTGTCCCTGCAAGCGCCCAGGAGAATAGCCCAGTAGCCGAGATCCGACCGCACACCTCTGCGTACACCGTCCTGTCGCCACAGCGCCAACGCCTTATTCTCACCTTGGTCACTATTGCAGGGTTCCTCGGGCCTTTTGCGGGCAACATCTATCTCCCGGCCTTACCGGTCCTTGAAGATGCCTTTCATGTGACCGCAACCGAGATCAATGTGACGGTGACCGTATTTATGGTGGTGTTTGCCTTCGGGGTGCGTTACAAATCTCCTTTGTCGTACATCGATGCACCTACTAATCCACCAACCAGCCCCTCTTCTGGTCCAGCTTCGCCGACCGTGGGGGCAGACGGCCGCTCTACCTGTCTTCACTCCTGGTCTACATTGCGGCTAACATCTTGCTGGCCGTGATCCCGGCCAACTATGGAGCTCTCATCGTTCTGCGCATCGTTCAGGCGTTTGGATCAGCCGCGGTGGTCTCACTGGGCGCAGGAACAGTCGCAGATGTAAGTAATTCTTTCCGGTAGAGGCCAATCTGGTCCACTGACTAATATATCTCCTTTTCCTACAACAGATCACCGAGCCTAAAAAGCGCGGACGGGCGATGTCGTACTTTCTCTTCGGCCCGCAGTGTGGGCCAATCTTCGGACCCTTGATCGGCGGCGCCATAGCGGGGAATACCTCGTGGAGATGGATCTTTGGGTTCCTGGGTATGGCCTCACGGCACCATGTGCTTGTATAGCAGACTACTAATACCATACCTCTTTCTACAGCCATCTCCGGCGCCGTCTTGTGGCTGGCCCTACTCTTCTTCCTCCCTGAAACCCTACGAGCCCGCGTCGGCAACGGCGGCCTCTACGCTGACAAAAGTTGGCTCCTTTGGCCGCCGCGCTGGATATCTCCGGAAGCAGAGGAGAGCGCACGGGGCCTCTTGCCACCGAAGCCCACTCTGCACGGCTACTGGAGACTGTTCTCCTACCCCCCGATCGGTATCGCATGCGTCAACACAGCGCTGCTCTACTCCTCCTACTTCTGTATTGCCATCCAGCTGCCCTCCGCTCTGGAGGGCGTCTACGGCTGGTCCACCAGCGCCGTCGGCGCGGGCTATGCCGTTGTCGGTGTCGCCATGATCATCGGCTCCATGGCCGGCGGTCGCTTCTCCGACTGGCAGCGCACGCGTCTCGAGCAGAAGTTGGGTGCCCAGCGCATCACGCCCGAGATGCGTCTTAATGACCAGATCTGGGGGCTCGGAGTCGCTTCAGTCGGGCTGATCTGGTTTGGCTTCTTCGTGCGCTACTCCATTCATCCGGCGGCGACTCTGATTGCGACTTTCCTAGGTATGTGGAAATCCCTGGGCCCGAGAATTCTTGCACATCACCTTTTTATGCTAATGCCACGTATCGTAGTTGGATCCGGCATGTCGTGGATGTTCGTCGCCTCCAACAGCTTCCTTACGCTTTGCGTGGCTCAGCAGGCCGCGGGGGCGTTCGCGTTGGGTAACATGCTGCGCAGTCCCGGCGCGGCGGTCGCGGCGGTGGTGGTGGGCCCGCTCGTCCAGCAAATGGGCTGGGGTTACTGTTTCCTGGGATTGGCGTTGCTGGACCTCCTGGCTGTTGGGTCGATGCTCGTCGTGCTGCGGACGCAGTCGCCGCGGTGGCGGCGGGAGAGGAATGCGAGGAATGCGAAGACACAGAGGCCAGGCCAGTAGACTATCGCCGGGGGAGGGAGTTGCCATTAATGCGTATCTGGGAAGTCCTGGATCCGTGTCGGAACACTGGCTTATACCCCTGTGATTATGATATTTTGTTGCTTGGAACAGTTGAACGGGAAGGTCGGATACCTATATAAGAAGGTTGCGAATTACTCTTAGACATCTGTTTCTTACCTTTCAGCTATACCTTCCCTGCAAACGAGGAGCCTCAATTGAATGTTTTTGGATAAATTGTTCAGGCCCTTGATCAGACCTCCCGTCACTCTTACTCAACTTCGTAAGAGTGGTAGGCAGTTTTACCCACCTTAACAAAGCATGTTATGGAAGGAGAAACGTAGATGTGTGTATTGAGTATATTTATGGCTATGTGACCTTTTTTCCGAGAAGTAGTGGGATCTGATGTTATATAATCTCAGATCTGTTATATTCTTCATAGACAAGAAGATTACTACTGAGTTATATATAAAACTGCTTATATTTTTAAGACAGAAAGTAAATAAAGTATAGATATAGATGTGAGATAAGATCTATTATACTAAGCTATTTAATAAAATAAGAATAAATAAGATATTTGAACAGCTTAATAAACCTGTCGGCTGCTTGGTTTATTATATTAATATAAATAGTAGAGTGGCTAACAGCCAGATCAGATCAGGTCAATTGGATTTTTTTTACCTAACCGCCAGGTTATAATTCGATTAAAGACAATTTTATATCTAACTGCAGTATAGCTAAAAATTGAACAATTAACTATTTTAATATGAATGATGGCGGTGGTCCAGTGTTCCAAAGTGTCTGGGTGGTCACTGACGATGATAAAATCTGGAAACTGGCACAGGATGACATTCAAAGTGTTCTGAGCACGTGCTATGACACGGATCCCGTGTCTTCTTAAGAAAGAAAAGGATGAATGTGAGGATGGGTGACTAGGTAGACAAAGCATAATAAGTTATGGGTTGTGTCTTCGAAAATTGCTCTACCGGACACTAGTGCAAAAGACATGGGATAGAATAGAGCTTAAAATCTTATTCAGAGAGTCGCCAGCGAGTACTAGCTAGTCACGATTGTTGCGGATGATTACTGAGCTTCGCTAGGCGAGAAATGATGATGGGGATGGCTGTGCGGATACTTGTACATTACACAAGTAATTCCGAATATGGGGCAGGGACCAATGGGGTCTTGAAGGGCGATAAATGAAGTTATTCTAGTACCTGAAAAAATAATAGTAAATGAGGCAGAGTTGTAAAATGGTTCACTCATCAGCCCTAGATAAATGTGGCTCTTCATGCAAAGACCAAAGATAAACTGCTAAATGTGCAAAATCAATATATTTCCTCTAATGGGACCAAGGCCCATGGGTGGGTGGGTATACGCCATTCACTAAAGAAATCTCGGCTATTCCGATACGTTGTCGATAATGGCAAAACTCAGGCCAATAGGCTGTCGGTACTTGGCGGATGGGGAATGGGGTTGATGGAAGGCGGAGAGGGTGGACAGAAGACCGGTCGGGAGCCACGACTATTGCAGCTCGGGCACCAAGAAATTTTATCTGCTTGCACATATGCTTCTATTTTCACCATTTTCTCAAGAATGACAGCCCTTTCGCCTGAATAACTCAATGCCCGCAGCTATGCTATCATCAGTCTCGGCGTTATGTGTCTTGTCACTCTCATCAACCATGTCGTCTTAAGCCCACCCCTGAATCCACCACTATATACTACGCCCCAGCAGGCAACCGACGCTATAGTCGGACGTAACCTGAGTTGCACTGCCTTACTTATCATTTGGGCTATTGGTTTGCTTCAATGGAGCGAAAATCTTGCTATGCTTTCAATTCATACAAGAAACCAGTCCCTTATTTTCGGGCTTGTTGCGGGAAATATCTCCTTGGCCTACTTGCTTTTAACCCAGTCGCATGCGCCAGCGCAGGCTTATTTCAACTATACCTTGTGGCCAGCCCATTTGGGGCTCACCATTGGGGCTTTCTTTTAGTTGAGCACTGTTTCGTATTAGACCTGGATGATATGGGCCTACCATCAACCATTCTAGCTTGGTAAGAGGTGATTCCCAGCCTGGTACTTGCTAAATACTTATGTGATGAAACCTAGCATTAGCATCTGTCGCACTTCCTGTGTATATGCGAACAGGATATCCAAGCATCACAACACGACTACCAAAATCCTGGATCTTGCATTGGAGATGGTTTACGAACATCACCGTGAATCACTCTTAGGATTGAAAGGTCTCTTGCCCCCATCCGACGGAGAGAGGAGGCATGTTTGTCTTGCAGGTCTAAGATACCCTTTGTAAGATTAAGTATGAAAAACCGCATACTTGACTTACCCTAATTGACTAGGCATACTCAACTCATTCTAGGGATGAAGAAATCTCCTCTTTTGACCTTACGTCTCCCGATGTCAAATCAGAACAAAGAGCATTCCAAGGTGGAGTTAAGCGGTTGTGGACCTGGAGTATCCTTTTTGAACAATTATTTTTTACAGTATGCTTTCCAAAGAAGTCCCGTAATTATCAATGCGGTAAAACAGACAATATAGCCCTTGGGGTTATAGTTTGACAGTGCTTAGGGGGCATCATTTGAGCGATATGCTGCAACCAGCAGGGTCTTGATCTTAAATTGAATGCTCTAAAAATATAAATTATATTCTTGAACAAGCGTCATATCAGGTATATGCATCTCTAGCCAAAGTCAAACCTCGGATCTCTAATTCGCTTTCCACAGCAAGTTGACCTGCTTCTTCCGGGTTCAAGAATTTTATTTTTCGCATCGACGATGTAAAGGAACAAAGATGGATGACTCACCATGGGGGCTAGGAAGGCCACACCGATTGCCAACGCTACCACTGTAAGAACGAGCTGCAATCTGGAAAAGCTCTTGCCAAGAGCATCACAGGCTTGGCTAGGGGTGGCTCTTGTACCGAAAATATCGCCACCGAATGCAAAGATGAGGTTGGTACTCTCAAGAAGAGTGGGCTCGGAGAGTACTGTCTTGATATCTGAAACATCACGAGCATGAGTGATGAACCACTTGCCATCAAACTCGAGCAGTGGGGCATAACGGAAAAGACCTTCCTCTGCCTCGGAAGCGGTTGGGTCGACTCGGTCGACGAGGCGGCGGGGGTCTAGAACAGGCCGAGGAATGCCAACGATGGAGCTCGACTCTGGCAGAGTGCAAAGGAGCTGGCGGGTAGTAATTCCCTGGCGAGTCTGGGTGACAGCCATGTGGGAGATAGGCTCAGGGATGATGATGGCTTGGGAGATAACGTGAGGAAGCGGGGGGCTGGCATCACTAGCACCATTGAGACTGGAGAAGTCTGCAGCGTAATCCAAAGGACCGCGGTCGTTGGGGATAGATGACTCGTAAAGCTCCGAGATCACAGGTTGGTCACCCTTGGCAGAAGTCTCGCTCGTCGGTAACATCGCCGAAGAAGGAGTAAACAAACCAGTTCTCAGACATCACAGATGCGATGGGCTGTGTTGTGTCCACACCTTTCTGGGTCGCTGAATAGAGAACCTTTCCGGAAACACCGCCCAGGAGGTAAAAACCAGCAATGTGGTCTTTGTCGCTCACAGCAGTCACCAGTTCAATATTGGAGCGCTATCTGGCGACTGAAGTATGCGCGCTCGCCAAATGACTGTTCTTCAATCTTGGATATAACCTCCCTCCCAGGGCCCTGTACCAGCAACGTGGCAGATATTCAATCAGAAGGGATGTACAAAGATTCTGCGATAGACTGATCATTTCTGCAAGCCGCGGTGTAGATATCCTTAATGGAGGACGGTGATTCTATGGATTCAACGAAGCTGTTGTCTGAATCTTGCGTAGCCATAGGTGTGGAGGGCCTGGCCTCCCATTGACTGGGCAGCTCACCGCCTTCCGGCCGGCAGTTTGGATAGATGCTTAGATAAATCCATCTTTCTTTATATATTTTTCTTGGATTATAAATCTTTCATTTATTTGCAATCCTTTTTTTCTTTAAAGTATTAATATTCTTAAAATATATTATTCAATAATCTTATATTTATTGGGAACCGCTACCGCCACACCAGCCAGGCTAGTGCCACACCTTTTTTCTGCTACCGCCTTTTATAAAAGAAAATAAACTTAGTTTTTATTTATTTAAATATTCTGCTTACCCTGCTTATCTAAATTATCTATATTTACTCTTTATTTTAATCTTTTTTATCTATAAAGCAGCAACTAAAAAAGAACTTATATTTTATTCGGCCGTGTTTAATATAAAACTTAAATACGGCTAAACGGACGGGAAGCCCTGTTTTCCACACCCGGTGGCCGTATGTGTTTGCTGTTGGGATGAGACAATCCTTAGGTAACAAAAAAACCCTGTGACAAACTCCAAAATTCTACCAATTTTCACGACTGCTTGTATATATAAGAAAGAAACAACATCGCTAATCGCTGCACGCAGAGAATGTAGCCCAATAACGCCCACGCCCCCCCTCCTTTTCCTCTCCCTAATATGCACCACCCCTCAAAGATCAACATCAAACGGATCATCAAACATGCCCCCCGACAACAACCCCCCCGGCGTCGACGGCAACAGCCCATTCCCATGGCCCGGGTAGAGCGGATACGGTGCGCGTGCCCATGCCCGTGCCCGTACCCTCATGCCGTCCAGCGATTCGAACTGTCGTCCCCCACCACACCCATCCTCCTCCCCCTCCCCCTCGGACCCCGTCGCTTCCTTCCCGTCTGCGGCACCACCCACCTCCGTAATCGCCAGCAACAGCCGTAGATTCTCCTGCAGGGCCCGCGAGTACCCCCCACTGCTGCTGCTGTTGCTGTGGCTGTGGCTGTGGCTGTGGCTATTGCTGCTCCCATCGGATTCGGTTGGGTCCACTACACACCCCATCACCGCCGCCGCGTGCGTGTTGAGGTAGATGTTCCGGGCAATGAGCAGCTTCTGCTCCAGCTCGTGCACCTGCCGCGTGAGCAGGGCGGTGCGCTCCTGCTGGCGGGAACGGTAGGCGCGCTGCGCCACGCGGATTTGGATTTTGCGGCGCTGGTTGGGGAGCCGGGAGTTAGTCTTGTTTTTTTGTTTGACGTGCTGGGAGGGGAGGAGCTGGCTTACCTCTTTCGTGGCTGCGTCGTCGACTTCCCCCGTGGTCTTGTCGAGCATCCTCGGCCGGCCACGTTTACGCCGGGGGTTCGTGGGTTGTTTCTTTGGTTGGGCGGGGTGGTTGAGGATTGTGGGGTTGTATTCATCATCAGTGGAGGAGTGGGGTGGGCTTGTCGGGTCGAGGACCGTAGATGCTTGTGAGGGGGTGGAAGATCGGGATTGTAAAGAAGGGGACGGCGATGATAATGATAAGGACGATGCATTGAGGAGGGAGAGGTAGTCTAGCATCACGGCGGGGTCCAGGGTCCAGGGACTCGGCACCATCTCTGCTTGTGACATCTTTGGACTTCTCGTGTCGAGGACGTTGAGGACTCAAAATTTTTGGCTGTAGATCTGTCTATCATCGGGTGGATATCCCCCTCTATATATAGTACCAGTGCATAGTGATGGTCGGGATACATCCCCAACCGCCAACGGGCCTGAATAAGCTATTAGGGCAGGTGGGGAAGAGGGGAGGAGGGGGTCCAGCTCCAACCCTTGAAGTCAACCCTGCAGAAAATGAGATTCACGCTCGCGTGGCCAGAAGAGATTAGTAGCCCCCAATCCTTCGACTCCAACCATCATGACCCTTACCTGCAGGGTGAACCGTGATTGGAGATATCGCGATCATCACGGAATCGGGACTTGTCGTGGACTCGTGGTTGTGAAGCTGTTCCCGCTGTGGAGTCAGGGACTTGGCCTTTTTAGCCGCAGGGGAGGGGGTCGATTGGGTCGGAAGGGAAGGGAAGCCCTAACCGGTTATCTTGCTGGTGCATGGCGAGACCGGGACCCGGGAATAAGGACGGTTACCGAGCGGAGTTTATTTGCTGTGAAGACTGGCTGTCACTGCCCAGTGGCCTCGCTTGAATACGTGCAGAGCAGACTAGTGCACGGTGATGTTTGCACTTTACCTGGAACGGAAGACCGACTTCCTGATCAGGGTTAGTGGGAGCGGGTCCCTCAATCGATTGATTATTCTATCGCTCCGGTCGAGATGAGATCGAAACTGGACTAAGTTCAGCCTGAAGTAGTGTTTTGGCCTGATGTCAGGCCACTAGTCTCTGCTAACTTGCTACTCCGGAGTAAGTTGTTGGTTTCTGGGTAGATTGTGGACTGCTTTTTTAGGAAATTGGTGTTCGGTCTGGGCGACTCTAACCTAACCCTAAGGCGGTTAAGCTTACCTACCTTTCTTTACCTTTACCCGTCCTAGTTTAGATAAGAAGATTTGATGATCAATGGCTGATGACCCTGGATTTGGAGGTCTCTCCACCGAAGGCGTGGTTACATTCTACAACATGCGATATATTATAAATTCATGATGGAATGGGGTTTGTCATGTGCTTCTGGAAAGACCTTTTTGCCGAGCACCTTTCTCGTTTTGAGGCTGAAGGCGAAAAGCTTTCCTTGCAATTAGTCAGGTTCCGGGGTTTGGCATCGGGATGAATATGGGGTGATGGACGGCAAATCTGCATCACTGGTTTGGGCTGGAGAGCCTCAGCCCCGATACTGGCAGGATTGCTAACTAGATCGGTACCGTACGATTCAGGCAGATAATCCAGAGGATATCTTAACCGCTGGTGCATTGTTTTACTGATCAGCCATGAACAATTCTCTCCAACAGTTCGGTAAAATAGAAATAATCCACACATCTAAACCGAACCAGCACCGTCCTCCGCAGCCAACGCAACTCGGACCCTCGTCCCATCTACCGGTTTTGCCGTGATCTGCATAGTCTATTCCAATCAGGTCAGCCCCTCTCCCACCAAAATTGGGTATAAGAGAATAAACTCACATTAAACAATTCCCTGCGGGCAGCAAACTGCCCCTGCGCCCCCATGACGGGCTGCCCCATCTCATCCCTCACAACCTCCCCCAAGCCAACCTTCGTAATCTCATACCGGCGCACCGTACACGCCAGAATCACCCGCACCTCCAGAGTGGCCAGCTCCTGCCCGATGCAATTCCGGGGCCCGCGCTCGAACGCCCGCCACGCGCTGGCGGGGATCTTCTGCTTCTCGTGATCAGACGACTCCAGCCACCGTTCAGGCCGGAACACGTCCTTGGTCGCGCCGTACACAGCCTCATCGCGATGGATCAGGGTCTCGCAGTTATAGACGACCATTCCATCGAGACACAGTGCCTCACCCCCGGGAAGCTGGACGGTAAACCCCGTACCTGGGGCGGTGAAGCGCGCGCTGCCGGAAGGGGGATGCAGACGGAGAACCTCCCTGATCACCGCGGAAGTGTACGGCATCTGGTTGAGGAGGTGTTCGCCCGCGGGTGCAGTCAGCCGTTCCCAGACAACGACCGGAGAGGGATCCGGCCCGAACAGCGTGGCCAGCTCCGCTCGGACGGCCTGCAGCGCGCACGGGGTGCGGCTGAGCTCGTAAAAGGTCCACTGCAGGACGATGCTGGTGGTGTCATATCCGGCGAACAGGAACGATTTGAGCTGGTCGCTTGTCTGGGTGAGCACCTTGTCATCCAGGGTGGCAATGTCCTGCAGGCTGAGGGCGAGGATGCTCCGGAGGACTTCCCTCTACCGGTCGGTGTGGCCCGCAGGTCGGCGAACTTCTGCGAGATGTGCGCGCGCAGATACCGCTCGAATCGGACCGTAAGCCGCCGGCGCTTCAACGCGCCCCAAAGGTTGACGCTCTCCCAGCTCATGCCGCCGGCCATCGGGTACGAGCGCACCAGGTCCCGGAAGAGTTTGTAGACCTCGCTTTGCTGGTGGGGTGCGCATTGTGCGCGGAAGTCGGTGTCCATTACTATTGCGCCTGTTTCATGGAAATACTTTAGTTTAAGGGTCGTTTCAATCCAGAAGAACGGGGAACTGTGTTTACCGATGATGTCGAAGGTGAGGTTGATGCAGGGTTCGTCCAGCCGGAACTCCACCCCGGACTTGGCGTGGCGGTCCAGGGTCTCGACGAACCGGCGCGACATGGCCACGATCCGCGGGAGGAGGGTCATCAGGTGCTGGGGCGCGAAGCCCGGGTTGAAGCGCCTGCGGAGGGTCTTCCATTCTTCGCCCTGGATTTAGGTCAGCATTTTGTCTCCTTGAACGCAATTCGAGGCTTGGGGCTGATACATTCGCGGCAATGATCGATCCCATTCCAATCAGACTGTGCAGGTCCTTGATCGTCGGCGATTTTGTCATGCTGTAGGGATACTCTTTCGAACTGCGGGAGATCTGCTCGGCCACTTCATGATCACCGATTACGCAGAGTGGGTATTGGACTGGCCGGAGGTCGAGCACGAAGAGAGGCGGGTGGTTCAAGTGCGCTTTGATCTCGAGGAGGACTTCGTCTGCGAGGAATCAGCACTTGTTCGAGCGGGCTTTAGTATCCTGGTAAACTACGGGAAGCGTACCGATATGTCGTTCGGGTTCACCTTTGGACATGAACTCGTGGATGGTTTTGAGGTGACCCCAGACTAGCGAAGGCTGGGGCTGCGGGTAGGGCGATAGCTGGGTGAATCGGTGATATTGCAGTTTCCTGTAAAGATAGAAGAGTAGGAGGGGCACAAAGGCCAGAGTGAGAGTGCCTATCATTTTGTACAATCTGGGGGAATACTGTAGCAGTAGGTGTGAAAAGACTGTTTCGGTGGTGAGATTGAAGATTATCGATCTGACAACTGATTACCAGGGCCGGTCTTGCTACCTCCTTAGATCCTAATGTGGTGACTGCTGACCGTAAGATCCCCACAATGCAAACTCTGGAGTCGGGAGAGGTATCCGATCCTGACGGCCTTGAGGCTCAACTTGGGAGACGTTTCAGCGAGCGACCTTTGAGCTCAGCAATCGAAACTTCCCCGAAGTTTCGCGAATCAACATCAACCAATCACTTATAATCAATTTCCCGCACGTGAAGTGGAGCCAACCAACCCTTGGAAGGAAACTGTCCGGGCGACAGGGGAAAGCCCCACCTCCACTCACATCTCCAGCCCTAACCTCAGTTAAGTTGGGCCAGACTCAACCTCTCCGATATCTTCGCGATCAGACCAATCGCTCGCTTTCGTGTTACAATTTTAGCGTGTACACCGGCGCTTGGCCCCACATAGTGCTTTATAGTCACTTTGGCAGCCCGTGGATTAGTCATGTGTCCCTGAGCCCCAACTTTTCCCTCGCAACAGCCAAACCCTGACATGCCGGACCTCCGGAGAACCATCCCTGGACCCTGTCCTGATCGCGAGTCGTCGTCATCTGGCAATGCATCCGTCGAGCCAACAAGCAACCACAAAGCCCGAGCCTAGTCGGACGCGGTCCAGAACCGGCTGTCGGACCTGTCGGTGAGTAGCAGTCATTCAACCTGTAATATCGTTTGGCAGCGGGCTACTAATCATTCCACCCAGGGCCCGCCGCATCAAATGCGACGAGACTCCCGTAGCATGCCGTAACTGTTCATCGACCGGTCGGCAATGCGATGGCTACGACGTCCACCGACTGCCCCCTAAACTCAAATCGACGGGCAAGAAAAAGACCCTGACTGCTCCACCAAAACTGCTGGGGCTGGCCGGCGGGCCCAGCCAGGCGCTGAACCGGCTGGACTGGACGATGACCTCGGACGAGCGGCGGTGCGTGGCCTACTTCCAGCACCACACGGTGCCCACCCTGCTGGAGTTCTTCGACTCTACGCTGTGGCAGAAGCTGGTGCTGCAGCTGAGCCGCTCCGAGCCGCCCGTCTACCACGCGATCGTCGCGCTGAGCGCCATCCACGAGAACTCGGAGGCCAACGGGATGCCGCTGGCCACGCCGAGCGAGTTAGTGGCAGAGAACCCCTGGCACCAGTTTGCGCAGGACCAGCTGGCGCGGGCCATCACCCTGCTCAACCGACGCAGCGCCTCGCAGGACCCGCGCTTCCGCGAGGTCATCCTGGTGTGCTGCCTGCTGTTCGTGCTGGCGGACCTGCTGCGCGGGCAGTACGACAGCGGGTTCGCGCATCTACGGAGCGGCCTCCTGATCCTCCAGGAGCTGCAGCAGCACGGCGAGTTTGGGAATTGCGCCTCATCGCGGGGCTTAGTCGAGCAGTGCATTGTCACCGCGTTCGCGCACCTGGACATCCTGGCCTCGCACTACGACCGCATCTTCCCGATGCTGCAGCCCCTCCACCCACTCACCCAACCCTCCAACCATGATCCCACCACCACCACCACCACCACCACCACCAACCCCAACTCCCCAACGCAACCCTTCCAATCCCTCCCGGAAGCCCGCGCGGCCTTCGACACCCTCCTCCGCACCTCCTACCGCTTCAGCGCCCCAAGCATGGGGCTCACCGCCCCGCAGATCTCGGCCAACTACGCCGCGCTCCAAACCGAGCAACACGCCGTGTGGAGCGAAGCAACCCTCTTCGCGCAGCGGTTCCGCCCCTTGTACCGGCACGCCTACCCGGACCTCTCGGCCAAGGAGCAGCGCGGCGCCGACATCATCAACCTGCACCTCGTCAGCCTGCGCGTCTGCATGCACTCGTGCCTGCTGGGCAGCAACCGCGCCGCGCTGGCGCACTACCGGGCCGACCTGCAACACACGTGCGAGCTGGTCGAGGCCCTGATGACCACGTTCCCGGACCATCGGCCGAGTTTCACGCTGGAGACGGGGGTCCTCCCGCCGCTGTATCTGGCGGCCATTCTGGGGGATGATTACCGTGTGCGGTGGCGCGCGACCGGGCTGATGCGGAGCTGGCCGCACCGCGAGGGCCCGTTTGATTCGAACTGGTTGGCGTCGTTGGCGGAGGAGGCGTTGTTGTTGGATTTGAGGCGGAGGTGTGAGGCGGAGGCGGGGTTTGGGGCGGTGGTTCTGGTTCCGCGGGGTGGGGATGCAGAGGACGATTTGACGGCAGATGATCTCCTCCTTGAACTGCGGGGGGTTCGTCGCAGGAAGCTGGAGGTGTTGTTGCGGACGAAACGGCTGCGGAAGCCTCCGCTTGATGAGGATGTGGACGTGGAGGTGGACGCGGACGCGGTGGGGTGGGATCCGTTGGACGCGGTCGGCCCGGTTAAGGGGATGGGGAGCTGGTCGTGTGTGAGGGCGTTTCATGCGGCGACGCGGGGGATTATGGGAGAATGTTGATTTTTTTTTTTTTTTTGTGATCTGGATGGATAGCGGTTGGGCGGTTCTTGCCCTTGACCTTGGTTTGATTCTTTCAAGCGGTGGATTTGTTTCAGCTTCAGCTTCGGCCGGCATCAAACTTCTAAGCGTTCCCTAACCCTAACCCCCAATGTTTACCCAGTATATACAATCTCTAACCCCCTCCCCAAAACACCTGGACACCAACCCCAGCCCTACTCATAAACCCCCTTCCCCCTCATCAATTCATCGGCCGTCTCATAATCATGCCCAAAGATCAACCTTGCCCGAAACAACCGCTGCAACCGCGCCACGAACTTCCCGCTGGCCACCCACGCCCGATGATCGCGCAGCAGCCAGCCCTGGGCCTGATTCCGCTCGAAGTTCTCCCGCACGTGGAACTGGTCCGTCGTCCAGATGAAGGTGCCGTCTTGAGCCAGGTTCACCTGCATGATGCACAGCCCCGGCGTATGTCCGGGACAGTGGTAGAGGGTGATGCCCGTGCAGAGGTCGAGCTGGGGTTCCGAGAAGGTCTGCCAGTTGAGCGTGTCCAGCGAGAGGTAATCTGCTCTGTTGCAGTGTTAGCATTCTTCGGATGGGTGGGTGGGTGGGGGTCAGGGAGGGAAAGAAATACAGATACACGCCGCCATCCGCCCCCGTCGCGGCCGCCCAGCAGGCGTGCTTGAACTCCTCCTCGTGGACGTAAATGGGCACCCCCGTGTTGCGGAAGTGCTCGAGCCCGCCGGCGTGGTCCAGGTGCAGGTGGCCCATGATCACGGCCTTCACGTCGCGGATCTCGTGGCCGGTGGCGCGGATGGCGGCGGGGAGGTGGTGCTGCGGTTCGTAGTGCGTGCGCGGGAAGAGGTCGGTGGCTTGGGGGTCCCATTGCTTTTCATCCGGTGAATGATCAGTGATGTGGTCTGCCGGTTGGGTTTATGTTGAGGTAGAAAAGGGAGGGCCTGGGCAAGGGAAAGCGAAAGCCTACCCGATCAACATCCTCCGCGCTCCCGGTTTCAAACAAGATCAGGCCCATCTCGGGGTGCTCGATCAATCCGGCGATCAGCATTAGGTCGCGGCGTTTGTTGGGCGGGTTGGGGTTGCTGGCGGAGCTGCCGTTGGCGCCGGTGAGGAGCCTTTGCTTGCTTAGAATGGATTCGAGGTATGGGGGGCAAAGGATGAGGGGGACGTACCATCCTTCGTCAACGTTCATCGTCCCCAGATTGAGGATGTGCATCTTCGTCCCCGGGGGACAGGTGTAGGCGGGCAGGGCCGCGGCGGCGAGGTGCTGCATTTGCATTGGGGCGGTCATGGTTGATTTCCGTAGATTGTTTCTGGATGATGATGACGATGGTTGTGATTATGATGATGATACGGCTGGTGCCTGGAACTGAAGACTTTACTTATACAATGCTATTGGCGACAGATTACAAAGATGGTTTTGTGATTAGTGATCTGGTGCGGGTGAGGTTGTTGATTGTGTCGCCGTATGGGTTGATTTGATGATTTCTCATCAGTCCTGCAGCCTGCAGACCTTGATTTCTGGCATGCGTGCGAGATTGCCATGTCTGGTTGTTCTGTATGCTTACTATACAGAACTGAGTCGCAGACCGGTTGCATTGTGGTTGAGCAAGACGAGGCCGCCAAGCCGGCCACTAGATACCGGATGATAACTTCCAGTTGCCAGCCCATTGTCTGTCTGCCAGACAGAGTACACGGTAGGGAATGGCTTGGCTTTCTGATCGCGCCATCTTATCATAACCAGCCTGAAAGAAAGTGCCAAATTCCGCTAATGTCGGACCATTTCAATGCTTTTTTCTTTCTTTTCTTTGTTTTTTATTTGCTCTTCCGACTTCAACGAGACAATTAAACAATATTGCTCTTTTCCATTTAAGACACAACAAAGTCGTGTACTAGAAATGCATATCATACTGCAAGAGCCATACCCTGCCTGTGTCAATCTCCCACTCCTGCGTAACCCATAAAACAGTACCAGTATCGATCAGCAAGCCAACCCACCTAATCCCCAACCCCACCCTACCAACACACTCCTAAACCCTCCGAATCATCCGACCTCACGCCGCAAAACTCCGATCATACAACTCCCCCTCCACCTTCTCGACCTCTTCCAACCACCCGCGCTGCAACCGCCGCGAGGCCGACCGCAGCGCGCCCCCGCGCGCATCCACCGGCGCCCTCACCCACATCCTCTGCCCCTTCCCCTCGCCCTGTTGCTCCTGTTGCTCCTCCACCGAAACCGGAAACCACGCGTCCGCCAACCCCGTCGGCTGCGAATTGATGTAGATATTCTCCCACTGCCCCCGATTGACGAGGTAGGTCTCATGGTAGATGGCGATGTGCGGATGCGCCTTGACGACGTCGGCCCACCACCGCACCCCGGCCATGTGCACGGGGTCGTGCGCGAACCGGTGCAGCGCGTCGTAGTCCCGCAGATAGAACATCGACATCGACTCGTTGCCCGCGGCAGCCGAGTCCTTGGTCCAGTGCGACACCCCCAGCAGCCCGTACTTCTCGGCGTCGGCGGTCATCGACGTCAGCATCCGTTGGTTGTAGGCGCCCAGCTCCTTCCAGCCTGGGGCGAACATGCCCAGCGGGTGGTTGACGCGGGCGCCCAGGTGGAAGACGACCAGCGGTTGGGCGGCTGGGGTGGCCGGGAAGTATTTTGAGAGGGTTGGGGGGTTGCTGGTGCTGGTGCTGGTGCTGGTGCTGGTGCTGGTGGTTTTGCTGGTGGTGGATGTGGATGGAGTTGTCGGGTACTGGGCTGAGAATTTGGTCTGCAGGGTGTGGTCCATGTAGCGGTTGCGGGTGATGTGCGCGGCCATGAGGAGGTGGTCGATCACGCGGTACAGGAGGATGACGGTGGGCGGGATGAGGGATTTCGGGCCGAGGAGACTCCAGGCTACGCCCTGGAGGAGGGCGCCGCTTAGGAGCCAGCTGCTTAGGGTCATGTTGTCGCGGAGCATGGCGGAGAGGCTCGGGGGGTGGAAGGGGAAGCGGATCGGGCCATTTGACGGGAGCGGTTGGGATGGGAGGAGGGGGGTGAAGGTTGATTGTGATGGCGATGACATTGTGGTTGGATTGGGGTTGTTTGGAGGGTAGGGATTATTTGGAAGGAAGAGAGGAGGGGAGTAAGCAGGGTCTATATAGTGCGTTGCATGGACGAGGGATCTCCAGGATGAAGGTGAAACGCCATCTATCTAGGCGAGGTGGCCAATGATAAGTGAGGAGAGATAAGCAATTCCCACATGGCAAGGCTGAGCCTCAGCCTCAGTGGCGTCAGTACGGAGTCACGGACGGTACGAAGGTACAATAACTAAGGTAACTAAGGTAACTAAGGTAACTAAGCTTAACATTACTTGTGAGCAAGTTACTCCGTACCGTATCCGCGTTCCGCGTTCCGCATTGCAGGCGAACAAGCCACTTGTCTGCTGCTTCTGCCGCTGCTAACCCCAATCCAGCTAAACGCTTCCTGCTCCGACCAGGCTGTCTACCCCACCTTTATAATCACTCTAATCAAAAATGTTGAGAAACCATTGATTATCCTTACATATGAGACCGCTGGCCACCACATCCACCATGTTCATCCCCTACAACCCCACCGAGATGCAGCCCGGCAAATCGCGTCGACCCGTCCACGCCCTGGTCGCCGCCCGCGCCGCCCAGCGCCGTCAACAGCACCAGTCCCCACTGTTCCAGCGTGGCTTGAGCACATTCGTGGTAGAGCCCGAAGACCAGAAGTCTAAAGATGATCTAGACAAAGATCGACGCCGCCGGACCGTGCAGCGCAAGCCCGGCCGAACACTGCCGAGCCCGAGCCCGATCGGCACGGGGCGATTCTACCCGCTGGCGACCCCGGCCTCCAAGGGGCCCTGCACCGCCCGCGCGCTTTCTTACTGTGCGTAGCCCTATCCTTTCCCTTCCTTATACTTCCTGTCTTACCCAAACCTCCCTACCCACAACCCACACTCCCCTACCTGTTCTGAACCAAGGAGGCGCGGGGGTGGAGGGGAAGCAGACTTCGACATCCTCCTCCCGCACGACTCCCAAGTCCTCAGCCACGCCCCGGCGCAGCGCCAAACCTACGGCTCCGTCTTCCTGCACTGGTCCGCCCACCACGACATCATGCTGCACGGCCTCGCCGTGTTCGCGCTGTGCAACCTCGAGTCGCAATGCGAGGACCTCTCCGCGGCCTCCGCCGAGCTCCACGCCGCGGCCCTGTACCACCGCGCGCGCCTCCTCACCGAGATCCAGCACACCCTGGCCACGGGCCACGTGACCGACCTCCTCATCTCCGCCCTCACCCTGCTCATCACGGTGGACGACCACCTCGCCAACGTCGCCTACAGCCGCGCGCACACCGCCGGCTTCGAGGCGGTGATCCGCGCCCGCGGCGGCGAAAGCCAGGTCGGCAGTTCCGTGCCGGCCATCAGCCAGGACCTGCGGACGGCGGCGAACGTCGCCCGGAGTCTGTTGGTGCTGCACATGCAGACATCCCTTTCTTCCGACGAGTCAGAGTCGGCGTCACCTTCCCCTCCTCCCCCCACCCGAGCATATCCTCCGACCGGGGACTGGGACACCTACAGCCTGACCCAGACCCTCGATATCCCCAAGGGCTTCGCCACGTTATTGAAGCAGGGCCGCATCACCCCGGCCTCGCTCGAGATCCTGGCCAGTTTCCACGACTGGCACGACCGCTACCTGCTCGTCGACGACCCCAGCAACATCCCCGTGTGGCGCCACAGCGCCTCGCGCCCGTTGAACCGGGTCGAGAAATGCATCTTCGTCGCCTTGCTGTGTCTCGCCGACGACGTCAGCCACATGGGCCTCCACCCGGCCGCCGTCATCTTCCGGCAGCCCAGGAAACGCGCGGAGATGTTGCTGGCTGTTCCCCCCTTGTGGACGGACGGTGCGTTGAAGGATTGTTTGGTCTGGCTGTGGATGGTGATTACTACGCCCAGGAATCGGGGGTTGACGCCGGTGAGGGTGCAGCGCGGGTTGTGGGAGCGCATCGTAAGAGAGGTGCGGGGGGATCTGCAGGCTTGGGGGGAGGTGGAGAGGGTGTTGAGGGGGTTCTTGTTTGATGGGAGGAGGGCGGGGGTCTGGGAGGAGACTTTTGGCAAGTTGCGGGGGCTTTAGGGGAGGGGTGAGGGGTGAGGGGGTTTTGTTGTTTCGTGCGTTAAGTAGAATAGAATTGTCGTCCTTGAAGTTGAATTCCTATGTTTAGGGTTAGATCTCCTTCGGTGCGGAGGGTGTTATCTTGACTACTACTGAGAAAGCCAAGTAACCATCGGACCCGATTGAGACAATTCAAGAGAGGTAAGGCCACCCCAGGAACTCCACATTCCAGAACTCGTCATCGCATACGAACTCTCCCCACGGCTGATCCTCCACCGCAGACGGTTCTCCCTCCGACAGAATCCCCGACGGGGAACCAGAGCCGGCCGGTTCGCTCGGACTTTCAGCATAGACCGACAAAGTCCACGCCTTTAGCATGTGGACCATCTTGATGAACGTGGCGAACACAGACTCCCCCGTCTGCGACCGGCCCCGCTCCAACTTCCGTGCGATCTCGTCCAGAACGCCGGGCAGATCGACGGACCGTCGAACCAGCCCCGTATCCCAGGCGGGGTCTTCCAGCGCCCCCAGGCGGAGGGTGACGAGCACGACGGTCCGGAATTGCTTCCAGACTGGGAAAGGGAAGCCGACGTACTCTGCTGCGTCGAATTGGAGGATCGTGCAGATCCAGGATTTGATGGCTTCCACGCATTGGAATAGGTGGTTGAGGGTTTGCAGGTCTGTGTCGGTTGCGATGGGGACGGTGGAAGTGCGGAGGAGGGTGAGTTCGTTGATTGTTATCTCTGCGTGGGATGCCATTGTTTGGAAAATTCCTGCACCGCAGATTAGGGTATGTCTCTGTTCTGTTGCAGCAAGGGGTAACTGAAGCACGACATACGGTTTGTCTTGAGATGCGCCGGGGCCTGGTGCCGCACCGCCGCCAACTCCATGTTGAGCGAAGCAACAAACGGCCCGATCATGCGCGTGCCCTCATCCGTCTTGCCATCCCCACTCTGCGCCCACACCCTGGCGACTTTCGCAGCGATCAGCTGCAGCTTGACCAGCCCCACCAGCAGCGCGTCCCCGGGCGCCTCGTTTGTGTCTTCCAGCACCGTCAAACATTCCTCCAAATACGGCGACCAGGACAGACTCTCCACCCGCCCGTGAAAGGTCGCCGCGCTACGACTCAGCATCAGCATCAACACCAGCACAAACAGACTCTCCGGAATGCAACCCACCTCGAAGTCAAAAGAAAACACGCCACCACCATCCGCCGATGCTCATGGGTGCGGGCGTCCGGCACGCGGATCTTGCCCTGGAACTGGCGCGGCACGGCGAGATGCTGCCGGTAGCCAACCCTACTAACCCCGCTGCCTTCGCGCCGCTGCAGCTCAAGGTCCAGCGTCAACGCCGTGCAGAGATGCGAGAACACCGTCAGCAGCGGGCCCATCGCGAACCGAAAATGGCCCCTACGGTCAGTCATCGCTCGTCAGCACCCCATGTGCATGGCAGAAATGGGAAGGGTCACCATACCATGCGATCAAGCAAAGCAACCCCAGCAGCAGATCCACCGTCCGCCGCCCTTCGACCACCACCTCCCGCGCCGCCATCTCCCGCACCGCGCGCCCCAACACCTCCTGACGCGGCCCGTCACGACACGTCACGGCCATGGCGCACGTCCAGAAGAACGGGCGCTTCTGGCGGAGCGTCCGAGCTGTAAGGGTGGGGTGGAAATGCACCAACGGAAGCAGAGGCAGATACCGCGTGCGGAGCACTTCCCAGTTCGCTTCTGCCTCCGCTGGGGCGAACTCCACGCCGGCGGGGAGCGCGTACGGGTTTGGCGGTGGGATGGTGTTAGCTGGCGCATCGCTCCGATCACTATTATCCACCGTCAACAGTTTCTGGCTACCACCACCATTACCATCACTCTCCCCAAGGCCATACCCCGTCTGCAGCAACGACACCAACCCGTCGAGCTTCTGCTCCAGCCGCGCGGTGCGCGAGGCGCGCGGTCGTCTTTGCCGGACCGTTGGCGCGGGGATGCATTCTTTTTTGAGTCGGATGCACCTATTCCCCAAAGGTCAGAATATATTGATTGGTCAAAGATATTACGACGGGATAGGGTAGGTAGGGTATAGTGTTACCTCTCACACCCGCCACCGGTCGCCCGCAGCAGGCACTTGCATTTTGCGCGGGCGCAGTTGAGGCACGCGCGGCCGTAGGGGGCCGTTCGTCGGCGGGGTTCCATTTGGATTGGGGGTTCCGGTCCGCGGGGATTGATCGGATTGAAAAGATATTCTGGGGGACTTCAGGGGTGGTTCTTCTTCCGGTGTGGTTGTCAGGATGCAGGTGGTCTTTTCGGCGGGGTTCGGAAGCTTAGTATCTTCCGAACCCCGAGTTGGACGGAGCGGGATTCGGCGGATGGGCCGAGGCCCGCTTGCCAGCTTTGGCTAGAGTATCGTGTGAGTGGTAGGTAACCTTGGATTCTACTTTCAATCGAGTTTGAAGGCTTGGGTTGAGAGTTAGAACTATCGGAGATTGTCAATGTCGACAACTGATAGGGTCGCAAGTTGATCATGCGTTTTTTGATTCTTTTCTTTATTTTCTGGGTGAGATCTGCACGCTGCTTACACGGGCTCTACACTCAATCCACACTCACTCCACGCAGTACGTGAGGTGATCAACAAAGGCACGCATCCTATCATGCAATATATCGAGCACAGTAGCTGTACGCAAGGTGATGAACGGTCCTACATCCAATCTGATCAAATTGACCCATGTGTTGAGCAGGGTGTTGGATCGCCAGTGGGGTAATGTCTGGAACCCAACTCGATCTGAAGAGATTCGGCCATAACATCGAAGCATAGTAGTTGTCAACTGTCCACGTCTGAATATTTATGATCACTCCCCAGCTCCTTTGTGGTCGCAGTCTAGCCGGAAGCACCGCCGAGGGACCAGCTGCCGGACTACATGCCGACCCGAGGTGTGTCCAGACCAGGCCGGAAATCCGGCCTCGGCAACAGAGCAATCGGGGTAGTTTGAGAAGCAAAGATAAGAGCTTGCCTATCAAGCTCAAGAATCTCAGAGCCGCATAAGCTGCGATACACCTTCAGAAAATAGACCGACTGGCGTCGGATTAGCTCAGTTGGCGCAAGCCTCTATGCCCTCGGCAGCCGGCGTGCAGGAAATATATAAGCAAAACCTCAGATCAGCCGCGGGAGTCAAATCTGGCATCGCACCGCAGATCGACCAGATGAACCCAATCTACCCAGCCGCGGAACCGCGGCACGGGGTTCAACCTTGACGTGGGTTCAACGTGTCGTAGAGATAGCATACCAGAATTATCCAGGGAAAGTGGTACACTAGTGTGGCACATGTTGCTAAACCCGACAGCTTGGGACTCCACCCGGGTAGATCGGGATCGTCCCAATCGCGACATCATCCCTTATCGGGATTCGCCCCCTTATCTGCCCAGCGTCTCGGCTTGCCGTTTTGGAGGGGCTCGCGTAGGATCTTGCCTGTTCCGGTAATTGTTGGCTTGGCTGAGTTCATGATGCACTTTTGATCGGGATGACAGGGTTTATTTTTTTGGTTGGCTACCATGAGGGTGAAATTGCTTTGCTATCGACAGCAATGTAGATGCGTTGGGTTATCGACAACTCAATATAGATTAGTACAGTACCTTGTCACTGGCGCCCGCCCTGTGAATGACTTAGTGAGCATACAGTAACTGACGGCATGCACGCACGGCAGTGCAGCACTCGGGACAGGCGGCAATGGCTAGCATCTAGAACAAGAACACCAAACCCAGGCACCAGGGGAAGAAGAGCTTTCACCAATAAGGTAGCTGCTAATCAATATGCAACCCTTTCGGTGGATACACGATGTGTTTAGCATAAGCTGCTCCCCTCGCAGCCCCTTTCCCTTTCAGTCGAGCGGCAGTTCGGCTCGCTGCCGCTGTCCGAGCGTTTCCCTCTAGATCATAATCAAACTTTCAGGTACCAGAGGCAAATCGCTCATACTGCGGAACTGTTCCACCGGCAGAGTCGGTACGGACGCCCGTCAGCCTCCCATTCCGCGTATCCGTGCACTCGTACATATACCTAGTCCGATCCCACCTGGTTCGCTAGGTTGCAGCACAATACCACAACGTCTTGTTTGATACTTTGTTATTAGTCTTAATTCTAGTTCTTTCGTTTTCGAACTTTGCATGGTTACAGAAATCTCCACTCACTTAACACGTTCGACACACTCCCCAAGAACATGGAATCTTTCCATGAGGAGCCGTCGGCTTCGACAGCCCCAACGGAATACGGCGACCACTCCGACGATGAGGCCCAACTCTCCGAGAAGAAGACACACCTTGGGATCCCCGAGATCAACGTCCGCGAGGCCCCCAGCGCCGAAACCCTGGCCGTGCCCGAGTCCGGAATCCGCGAAGCCCGCAGCGCCGAGACGCTCGCCAGCCCCAACCCCCACAACGACCCTCACAGCACCCCGCAACAACCGCGCATCGAGACGGAATGGAGCATGGCCGACCGCGTCCGGGAGAACCAGCGCCGCTCCGAGGCGGCGGGCTACAAACGCCGCGAGCTGGGGGTGACGTGGCAGAACCTGACGGTGGAGGTGGTGGCGGCCGAGGCGGCCGTCAAGGAGAACCTGATCACGCAGTACAACGTGCCGCAACTCGTCCGGGACTTCATGCGCAAGCCGCCGCTCAAGTCGATACTGCAGGACAGCCACGGCTGCGTCAAGCCCGGCGAGATGCTGCTGGTCCTGGGCCGGCCGGGGTCCGGGTGCACCACCCTACTGAAAATGCTGTCCAACCGCCGCGAGGGGTACCGCTCCGTTTCGGGGGATGTCTTCTTCGGCGATATGGGCCCCCAGGAGGCCGCGCAGTACCGCGGCCAGATCGTCATGAACACCGAGGAGGAGCTCTTCTACCCGCGTCTGACCGTCGGGCAGACCATGGACTTCGCCACCAAGCTCAAGGTCCCCGCCAACCTGCCCGCCGAAAACTACGTCGCCGACACCAAGCAGTTCCTGATGGAGTCGATGAAGATCGCCCACACCGAGGATAC